GCATGGCTCTACCAATATTCCTTTATAGATGCGACATGGTTATACCAATATTTGTACAGCGCGGGAATTAAACCCATGTCCCGAAGCGTCACAGACAAAATTAGACACAGAACTATCGAGTCGTCAGTTTAGTTTATATAGATAATTATTAATTGTTTTTTTTTTTTGAAAATTGTTTTCATTTATACATTATCGGCTCCGTGGCGCAGTGGCTTAGCAATGAGTTACAGCACTGAGCGCCGCGGGTTCGAATTCCGCGCGGATCAAGTATTCGTATGATCTACGAATAATTGTTACAGGTTTGTGTGTTTGTCCTTGTGCAATTTATGTATGTAAACTGCCTCCATGATACAGGAAAAAATCTAGTGGGTGACGTTAAAAAAATAAAAAAAAAAACAACAACAACCTATCAAAACTTTACTTCTAAACAAGGAGTTCTATCTTGACCACCTATGATTCAATCTAGTAAGAGGCCTATGTTCAGCAGTGGACACATGTAGTGATGCATTTATGAAAGACTAGACTAGACTTTGGGTTCTAATTTATTTGCGCGGAACCCTAATTCTTTTTCTAAAATAAAAGTAGCCTAATCCTTTTTCTCAAATAAAAGTAGCCTAAGTTACTCCTTATAACATCAGATTCCTGAAAGTCCCGTCAAAATCGGTCCAGCCATTTCGGAGATTAGCCGGAACAAACAGACAGACAAATATTTTAATAATTGTGTTGTTATATGTACCGTATAAACTTTCATATGCATTAGTAAAAAGCTTTTATTTTGTTGTTAAAAGCTGTTATTTTGACATTAAAAACAGATACTTCAATTGGATTTATTTGTATAGATGTATAGATTTGGACAAATTGTTAAACATTATTATCTATAGAGTGGACCAAGCGTATCTCATCACCTTTAGATAGAATAAAAGTTTTGGTTACAAAAGGTAGTCTTGAAACCAGTTAAACCCACTGTGGTATTAACAGAAATTCTTTTAAATTGTCCAATCCACGTTCTTGAAAACTGGATATCAAGATATTTTTATTGTAAAATTTTACTTTGAAAAAAGCCTTGCTGGGTTACTTGCTGGTTCTTCTCACGACAGTGGTTTTTTCCCGAAACAGTGGCAAAAGTAAAAAAAAAGTCTTTGAATAAGAATTACATACTTATTATAATACTATGTATTTTGAATTAATATTATTTTATTTATGATATAAAAATAAGACAGAGAAGAAGTAGAAAAGTTTATTTACGCCATCCTTTTTATACGTGGTAGAGGCATGCTGCAGCTCTATAGAATAGAATAGAATAATTTTTTATTCAATATACATTACATGTGTAATTCTTATTGAAAGTAATTTTTTACTTTACCACTGGTTCGAAAAAAAAACCATCTGTCCTGTAAAGAACCAGCAAGAAACCCAGCGGGACTTTTTTTTAAAATAAATTTTACAATATAAATGATTACGAACTATCTACAAAATTTATTTTAGAAACTGCTTGGAAGCGACCACCTCATTCCCAGGGGTTATTATCAACCATGTATTCATTTATACTATAATAACCCTTTTTATACAGTTTCAGATTAATAAAACATTTAAACTTGGTAACAGAGAGAACCTGTACACTTTCCGGGAACTTGTTGTAATAGCGTATAAATTGCCCCAAGAATGAATTACTGACTCTGTGGAGTCGAGGAATTTAGATTTTTAACATTTGTTGTTTGTAAATTTAACACAATTAGTTTTATTTCCGTTGAAATGCAGATTATTATCGTTAATATATATTACTTATAACAATAGTATATTACTGGCAATAGTTGTAGCATGTATGGGTGGGCTCGACCGAAGAAGGAACACGATCTCACAGAATACCAGCGTAAAAGGGCAGCTTAACGCTGCTGTGTTTCGTGTGGATTTCCATCTTGTTCCTCACGGGTAACAGCGTATTTACGTTTTGATATCGAGGAGAGATGTGGTTATCTATGGGCCACAGCGACCACTTACCATCAGGTGGACTCGTTTGTTACCCTTATCCTATAAAAAATCCTTATCAGAGTAGCTACTATAAGTTAAGGCTATAAAACCAAGGATTCTAGTCTATAAAGTACTAGTCTTATTATAAAGTTAAAGATTTACAAAAAACAACATTTTCTTTCCAGATATAAATTTTTGGGATACTGTCTCAGAATTTTTATGCACGTAAATTTAATAAAACATGAATAAAAATTAAGTATTTAAATATATGGCACAATAATAAAATAAAATAAATAGCGTGAAAGCATTATAATTTTTTATTAATTTATATGCTGACCGTACATATATCCTCATTGGAGATTCCGCGAGCTCCGCGAAACGTCCCAGCTATCGTTTATAAAAGAGCGAAATAGAATGAAAATTTTCGCATTCCTAAGTTTTTTGCGAAAGCTCTTGGCGGACTGTGAAGTTATGTGTCAGTAAAGTTTTCTAAGTGTTGCCAATGTGACTTGTCTCTAATTCAATTATTATCTGAAGTACTGGGAAACGGTGAGATACTAAATGGTTTATTTATTATTGTTAAATATTATAACGCGCTTATACTAATATATGTTTTAATTACTTTATGAAATTATAAAATATTTTAAGTAAGTACTTAATGTTTTTTTTAAGTAAAACGAAACATTTACCTTATCACTTTTTGTATATGTCTTTTATTTATTTTTTATTGTCTTGTTGAACCTTTTTGGTTCAAATATACTAAACTTATGAATGCATATTTATCCCGTTCAAAAACATGTTAATTACTATTATGATTAATTTTTAAAACGCCATTATGACGTGAAGTCTATCAAATCTATTTTATAAATGGCTTTATAAGGTTTATTATTATACGCAATATACGTATTATTTTGAATTTAGGAGTATTGTCTGTTTAAATTAAAAAAAAATACACAATCATTTTAAAAATAATTCTAAAAAATCACCACAGATGGCGCCTATTAGTATTTTTATAGCACTGTCTGAGATTTTCATTGCCCCGCTCACCCGCTTTTTGAGTTCGATACAAACTAACATACTTTTAAGACCAAAGAACACTATTCCTTCACACAACTGAGGTGAAATGGTGCTGGAGAAATTGCGAAAAGTGACCATGTTTTTTTTTTCAAACTAAAATGGTCAACGGTCCACCTGTTGTTGATAAGCTGCTACTGCAGTCCATGGACACTTGCAGCTAACTTCAAACACAAGCTTCAGATGCTGTCACCTTTGTGGACTAAGATGGAATACATCACGGTACTTAATTATACTGGTTCTCTATACCCTTCCGAGAGGAACACAGCAGTGCAGTGCAGCAGTGCAAGCACTACAACTTGGCGGCAGTAATATGTCATGTTTAAGTGAGTCATACTGAAATTATTATTATATGTGTTTGGAAATACTTCATTTTTAAAATGTTATTCAGTATTATATAGTTGTTACTAAGTTGTAAACTGTGTAACCAAGCTAAGCAGATTGTTAGCGCTCGCTGTAAACTTTACAGTACGCGAGCAACCTGGGTTCGATCCCCGCCGGCACCAATGAAATTGTTAATTGCAATTTTAAGTGCTGATTTACCGCGTGCTCGACGGTGAAGGAAAATATCGTGAGGAAACTTGCATGTCTGAGAAATAAGAAAAATAATTTTGAAGACATGTGAAGTTCGCCAACACGTATTGGGGCAGCGCGGCGGACATTTCCTTGCCCTTAAACCCTCTCAGTAATGAATGGAGGCCTGTGCCCAGCAGTGGGACGTATATAGGTTGTAACTTTAAGTTGTAAGTGTAAGTGGTCGATCTGACAAAACTATGTCATCCATTTTATGATCTAAAAGAATATAATCATTAAGTTTCGTTATTTTAACCGTAGTAACAACCCGCATCTCATAATACTTAGATCTTTGTTACATTTTAGTTTACGCTCCTTTTGTACAAACTTGTATTTGATTTTTTATTCATTAATGGAATTAAATTAATCCATTTTAATATTACTTACTGTAATTATGCTTAGAAACTTCGCAACATAAGCAACGCAACGTAAGCCCATCTATGGAAAAGTCGTAGCAAAAGTTATACTGATAACACTGACTTTCATAAAATATTCTACGTGGTAGAGTCACGCTGTAGCTATATTATGGTTGTAGCACGAATGGGTCGGCTCGAACGGGGAAGGACCACGCTCTCACAGAAAACCAACGTAAAATAGCAGCTTAACGCTGCTGTGTTTCGTATGGTGAGTGTAGAGAACCGGAGACCCTTTTTACTGGCAAAAAGGCATTCCATCTTAGTCCTCACGGGTGACAACGCATCTGCATCTTGAGTCTTTATTGAGGATAGATGTAGATGTCTATGGGTCACAGTAACCACTTACCATCAGGTGGACTGTGTACTCGTTTGACACCCGATACTATAAAAAAAATATTTGTTGCTGGTAGAATCTACTGCTAGTGCCAAAGTAGTAAAAGAAATCAAAAAATTTTATTTAATGATATTCTTTACATATTGGATATTGAAATTGGATATAAAATCTTAAATTTTATTATATAGTAAAACACACACATTATGCAAAATAAATAAATGAATATCCCAAAGGACATTGTCCGTCAAGATAATCAACATTAAAGCCTAAGAGTCCCTCGTTTATTTGTCATAAAATAAATGAAGGATGCTGAAAAGAGACCGCACTACAATCATCATTTTCATCATCATTACAGCCTATATAAAGTCAACTGCTGAACACAGGCCTCCCTAATAGATTGCATTAAAAAACCGCAACCACAAAAAAATTCTAGTGTTATTGGGAAAACGGTGCTGCAAATCACTTGGTTGGTTTCCGTTTGGCGTTTCGTCGGGACGATATGGGATAGTAGAAATTCTAACACCACCATTACACGGTCATGAAGGACAAATAATGTTAAACATCAATTTATGTTAAACAAGAAGCTTTAACAATTATACCTACAAAATATTTTTTCAGACGTGTACAGATTCAAGATGACGTCAGTGACGTTAGGTCTGGTGTTGCTGCTCTGTGCTGCAAGCGTGTCAGCTGACGACATCGAGATGAAGCTGCAGAGTGGGATGCTGATTAAAATGCTAAGGGTGGGTGTAACATTAATAGATTGCATCTTAGGAGTAAAAGATATATATATAACATTTTATTTTCAAAACGTTGCTCATTTAAATATATGTGGCTGAGTCTTGCTCATTTAAGCATATACTTTACACGTGGCAGAGATGCAGAGCAGAGTGGATGGGTTGACTCGACTGGGGAAGGACCACGCTGTCACAGAAAACGCATGTTGAGTGTAGAGACCGGGGATCCTTTTTACTGGAAACGAGGCATTCCATCTTAGTCCTCAGGGGTGATAACGCATCTGCATTTTTATTCTTAATTGAGGATAAATGAAGATGTCTATGGGCCACAGTATCCACTAACCATCAGGTGGACTGTGTGCTCGTTGTTTACCCTTATTCTATAATGCTTTGGTATACAATTACATGCTTCGGTTACCGATGGCTCTATTATTCTTTATTATCTGTTATTTTCGTTTAAACAATTTAGTTACTTTTGCTCGCGGCTTTCCCTGTGTGGTGGTCGTAAAACGGTTATCATTTACAAAAAGCACAGCACATGCCCTCCTTTAAGTTTTGCCCGCGACTTCACGAGGTTCTTTCGCTGTTTCTTCTTCGTTCAAAGAAACCTCATTTTCAAATTAACAGAATTAAAAAAATTATACTTAAAAAACATTTTAAATGTATAGATAAAAAAACTAAATTTAAAAAAATAATTCCTAGCTCGAAGAAATAAATAATGCATGTAGTGCAAACTCCACTTACAAAAAAAACATTAATTTTATTGTTTAGTTTTTGAAATTCTTATAACAAAGCAAATGGATTACAGGAATGCATGAGATATTTGACACATACCAAGAAGAGGTTTAGAACAGTCCCGCATAATAATGATAAAGGTGCAATGTCCAAAAATAAGTTCCTGAACAATGGATATCAATATCTAATTACACACTACACACGTTCGCGTGTGAACATTTGAATCTTTGTTCACTTTTAAACGAACGATATCTTGCATTCCAATGTAAATTACAGATTAAGTTACAATATCAGCGCAGAGTGTATTTTAAATTAAGGTAGAGACAAACGGGAACGCGGCTTACCTGATCGTAAGTGATAACCGTTGCCCATGAACATTTGCAACGCCTTTTAGACAGATGAAAGACATCTTTTCTCGAAGATCCCAAAGTCGTATCGGTCTGGAATAACCGCTGGCGGCAGTAAATTCCACAGTATGCACCCACCTGATGGTAAACGGTGAAATAGCTGAAGAAGGTAAAGTGCACTGACTTGCTTCACAAAAGCCTCATGAACTCTTATATTTATGCAAATACTTCACATTGAACGAAATATATTTTTTTACGGATTTTATCCTGAATAAATTTTACTTTTTCAACCGACTTCAATTTAACTGTGTTTTTATGTGTATTACGTCCGAACTTTTTTCTAGGTGAACCAATTTTAATTATTGTTTTTCTATTTGAAACTTCGCTTCTCACGTGGTCCCATATAAATTTGATCAAGATGTGACCAGTAGTTCTTGAGTTATCTTTAATAATGCGTATTTAACTTCGACTACATTGATGATGTTCTTATTTAATTTATAGTGCAGTCGGTTGCACAAAATTTTTAATTTTATCACTTGTTAATTCCCGACCTATAGTCACGGGTGGCTGGTTCTTGTTACAACCGTCATATAATTATGGCGTGGCTCTACCACGTTGATATGGCATTGTGCTTACTAATCTCTTGGACTACGTCAATTATTTTGGTTCTTTTTTAAATAACGTCAGCCCCACACTGGTATATTTTCCTGTACCGTGGAAGCTCTTTACAAACATAAATTTCACAAGCACAAACATTTATTTGTATGCTAAGCCCTCAGCGCCGCAATTCGTTGCTAAGTTACTGAGCTGAGATATCTCTTCTGAGATAAGCGATAAGGAAGAAAGATTTTAGAGTGCCATCATCGTATAGGCAATTAGAGAACAGTCCCCACGAGCAGGAGTAACAACCTGATAAGATATGTAGGAATACAAGTGCATTAGTTGAGGGAGGCCTATGCTCAGTGGACTTGTGGTTGTAGTGATGATGATGATGATGATCAATTAGGTGTAACCATAATTTTATATACATTGAATAAAACTAATTTCAGGGATATTTTTTTGGAATAAGGGTGACAAACGAACACACAGTCCGCCTGATTGTAAGTGAATTCTGTGGCTGGTCATCATCTAGCTTAAGTTAAGAATCAAAATGCAGATGCATTGTCCACCCTGCGAACTAAGATGGAATCCTTCGTTTCCAGTAAAAAACGTCTTCCGTTCTCTACATTCACCATACAAAATACATTAGCATTTAGCTGCTATTTTACGCAGGTATTCTTAGTATGACTCATGGGTTACGATTTCATGGGTTTTAGTATTTTTTTTTGCGCGGAACCCTAATACTTTTTCTAAAATAAAAGTATCATAAGTTACTCCTTATAACATCAGCTATTTGCGAGTGGAAGTCCCGTCAAAATCGGTCTAGCCGTTTCGAAGATTAGCCTTAACAAACAGACAGACAGACAGACAATTTTTTTTACTTTAGTAAAAAGCTGTTATTTTAATATTATAAACAGGCACTTCAATTTTATTTATTTGTATAGATTTGTGATAACAAAAACAAATTAATTTTTTTTTTTGCTATCACCGACTATACTTTCAATGCATTTAGTAAAAAGCTGTTATTTTAACATTACAAACAGACACCTCAATTTTATTTATTTGTATAGATTTGTGAAGTATAACTTAATAATAGTTAATAAGTTTCAATTATTATGAATAGTAATTAAATATATTAAAATCAGGAAAAACATTGACATTTTTGATAATAACACGCGTTTTTTTTAAATTAAATAATATGTCTATCTCTATTGTAACTTGTTCAAAGCAAAGAAGTTAGTATCAGCTAAACATAAAAACTTCCATGGCCTTGAATTTACTTTTAAATTACCCGCAGTTTAATGATTGTCATAAAGTAGACAAGTGAAATCATCAATTATAAATGACGTGACGAACTGATTTGAACCGTGGTTTGTTTTTATGGATGAGTGCAGATAACGAATAGGTACAGGAAATAATTAAATTTCTCATGTTAGAATCTAAACATATCGCCGTAACGAAACGCATCCTCCGATAGAATTCGCCTCCGCTGGTACGACGTAAACAATGATTTCGTTTTGCAATTTAAATCGAATCGGTGATCCCATCGAGTTGTCATCGTACATTCCAATGAAATAACGACCATTGAGCTTTATGCTAAGAGGGTTCCATCCGGACAAAGATCATTTAATCGATAAAATGATAAATTATATTACGAATGCTTTTCACCTTCAACTAAAAATATATATTCAAGTCAAAGATAAAGTTTTATATAGAGAAAAAGTTAAATATTCTTTTGTCTCTCGCTTAGAGCCTTGGTCCCTCGAGCCTTTGTAAATCCTGAAACGTACTATTAATAGATAGACAAAACATTTGAGTTGAGAAAAGATTTTACTGACAACCAGCACTGGATACTACAGCTAACGTGGTTGAGATAGAATATGTGGTAGAGAGAGCTGCAGCGTGACTCTACCACGTTTTAACTTGGAAAGTGGAAGCTGTGGCCCACAGGCAATATCCCCGTCTACACGTAAATTTTATCTACATTTATCACCGGTTAAGAATCAAAATGCAGATGCGTTGTCACCCCTGAGGACTAACATGAAACGCCTCGTTCAGAGTAAAAAGAGTCTTCGGTTCTTTACATTTATTATACGAAACACGGCAACTTAAGGCAGCTATTTTACAATGGTATTCTGTAAAAGCGTGGCATAAGCCTGGTTGAGCTGACCCATTCATGCTACAACCATACACGTACTAAAACTTCTGATACTTTTTTTTTAGAATAGGGGGCAAACGAGCATGCGGCTCACCTGATGGTAAATGATTACCGCCGCCCATGAACAACCGCAACACCAGGGGAATTGCAGATGCGTTGCCGGCCTTTTAGAAAGGTGTAAGCTCTTTTCTTGAAGGTTCCTAAGTCGTATCGGTCCGGAAAATTCGCTGGTGGTAATTGATTCCACAAGGAAGTTGTGCGAGGGAGAAAATTTCGTCTAAATCGCACAGTGGTGGACCGCCAATCATCCAGATGGTATGGATGGTAACGCGAGTTTTGTCGCGATGTGCGATGGTGAAATTGAGCGGCTGGAATTAGTCCGAACAACTCCTCAGAGCACTCCCCGTGATAGATGCGATAAAATACGCAAAGAAATGCAACATCTCTACGCAGTGCCAGTGTATCGAGCCGATCGGAAAGAACTCGGTCGTCGACGATTTGAACCGCTCTGCGCTGGATGCGGTCAAGTGGAAGGATCTGGCACTGGGGTGCCCCGGCCCAGAGATGAGAACAGTATTCCATGTGGGGCCGAACTTGCGCTTTGTAAAGTTGCAAGCGATGTGCCGGCATGAAATACTGTCCCGCTCTGCTGAGCACGCCAAGCTTTTTAGAGGCCAATTTGGCCTTCCCTTCCAAGTGACCACGAAACTGCACACTATTCGATATGTCGACGCCAAGGATTCCGATTCTGGCTGAGGCAGCAAGGGGAGTACCTTGAAACTGAGGAGATACAACAAAGGGGTTCTTTTTAGCGGTAAACGCGCAAACTTCTGGGGATCGAACTGGACTAGATTTAGTCGGCCCCAATCCGAGACTTTGTTAAGCAAATACTCGACTTCAGACACAAATTTGTCCCGGTACTCGGCGACGTTTTCCCGAGATATATTGGCACGGCCGGTATATAAGGCATCACCAGTGCTGTCGTCAGCATAGCAATAAATGCTACCAGTTAGCAACATATCATTGATATGCAGGAGAAACAGCGTTGGTAATAACACGCAGCCTTGTGGAACACCAGCGTTGATAGGCTTGAAATCAGAGCATGCACCGTCTACTACGACCTTGATGCTCCGATCAGCACGGAAACTGGTGATCCATTTGCACAATTTCTCGGGAAGCCCATAGGAAGGAAGCTTCGAAAGAAGCGCTTTGTGTCAGACCCGATCGAAGGCCTTCGCTATGTCCAAATTAACGGCCAATGCCTCCTCCTTGGACTCTACTGCCTCCGTCCATCTATGAGTTAAGTAGACTAGAAGATCACCAGCTGATCGACCACGACGAAAACCGTACTGGCGGTCACTAATCAGCTGGTGATACTCAAGGTACCCCATGAGTTGGCAGTTTATAATGGATTCCATTATTTTGGAGAACAAGGAGGTGATGGCGATAGGCCTGTAGTTGAACGGGTCTGAGCGGTCGCCTTTTTTAGGGATCGGTTGGACCAAAGCTGTCTTCCATGAATTCGGGACTACACCTTGGAAGTAGGAGTACCGGAAAAGACGCGTTAAAACCGGTGCCAACTCCGGAGTACACGTCTTCAGCACAATGGGAGGGCCTCCATCGGGCCCACTTGACTTGCTGACGTCAAGGGAGAAGAGTGCTTTGCGAACCGAGCGCTGTGTAAATCGCACATCCGGCATGGAGCACTCACAGCGCAGGATGGTCGGCAGTGTTCCCCCCGTCATCTAGAGTCGAGTTGGACGCAAAAAGAGAACTCAACAGATCGGCTTTCTCCTTTGCGGCATGGGCCAGTGAGTCGTCCTTTCTGTGCAGAGATTGAAGAGATGGCTGACAGAAGTTCCCTTGGACAACCTTGGCGAGAGACCAGAATGCACGAGTTCCCGAAGGAAGGCGAACTAGCTTCTCGCCAATTCTGCCGATGTGCTCAGACCTTGCCTTGGCAATGACGCTTTTGAAGGACCTAGAGGCGGAATTATACTTCTTTTTAAGTGCGCTGGTGTTTACATCCCGAGACGTTGATGCGTCAGCCCAGGCCCGGTAGCACTCCTGCTTATAGCGTGATGCTATTTTACAAGAGCGCCCAAACCATGGCTGGGATCTGCCTCCGATGTGCACCACAGAGGATGGAATAAAAAGTTCTATACCCTGAAATACCACATCAGCAACAGAATCGGCCACAACGCTGGGATCTTCCGGCGAGAAGCAAACCCGCCCTCAAGGGTAAGATGCAAAAAAGACCGCATCCCTTCCCAATCAGCTGACCTATAGTGCCAAACACGGCGGCAAGCTGCAGATCGCAACTGCGATTGGAGCGTGAGTGGCACCGTACCCCGGATCAGACAATGGTTCGAAGAGCCCAGAGGGGCATCGACGGAGACCTGATATCCGTCCGGATGAGACGTCAGCAGAAGGTCCAACAGGGAAGGTACATGGTCTTCCACATCTGGGATCCGCGTAGGCGAAGTAATCAGTTGTGTTAGACCATATGCCAACGCAAAGTTATAGACAGATCTACCCGCATGATCGGTTAAACGAGAACCAAGCCATTCAGCGTGGTGGGCGTTGAAATCACTGAGTATCACGATCATTGAGGATGGGGCCTGTTGTAGCACGGAGTCTGCAGCCATTTGGACGTACCGCTATGGGGCCTATATAGGCAGCCGTAGACGCGAGGATGGTCGTCGCTGTCTACGCGCAGCCATAGTATGGACAGGTCCGTACCTTCAAGACTGCCGAGGTGTCGAAAACAGATGTCCTCTCTGACGTATACGCAAACTCCAGCCCGGGACACAAAGGAGTGTTCCAATTTGTACCCCGGGTAGGAGAGATATGAAGTATCAGCCGGAGAGGACACCTGAGTCTCGGTTAAAAAGAGCAAGGCCGGCTTCGCCGTCTCTAGATGGTAATAGACAGCGTTAAGGTTGGAATGAAGTCCCCTGATGTTGCAAAAATTCACGGATAGCGTGACAGGGGTCGCCTTGGTTGTATTGCTCCGCTTGCCCCGAGCAGCATTAGTCGCGAGCGTAATTTTGCCCCCCCCCCCAGACCTACGCTCAGGAGTGAAGTAGGTTGGTCGTGGATGCTCAGCGAGGGATTCTCCAGGGGTCTACCACTGTTAAAATACTTATTTGATTTATACTTAATTGAGGATAGATGTAGGTGTCCATGGGCCATAGCATTTACTTACTATTCGATGTAATATGCCCGCTTGTCAGCTAAATTCTATAAAAATACACACACCTAAATATGTGCATACCACTAAAACGAGTGAAACTTAAATTACGTTTCCTTGACGGTTACGCGCACTGTATCTTATAAATGTCACTCGGCTGACATTTTGTCTTTATAATTTATACTTTTAAAAAAATACAGATTTTTACCTTTAAATCCGTTTTATTGCATTAATATGGATATAACATACACATTCATTTACGTATTCAGATGCTGTTAGGGATTTTAGAGTTTTTGGTTAAGATTCAATACATGTGTGTGCATCAGTGTGTTTGTGAAATGAAAATATATATATTAAAGGTTCTTTCGTCAGCCTTTTTAGGATATTAGTCTTTCCAAAATAGTCTGAGGTGCTGGCTTTTAATAAAAAGCTGGGCTGGTAGTTTGGTGAGTTCACAACTGACATGCTCGCACTGATAATGCTACTCCAGCTCCAACAGATCATTAACCTTTTGGATTTGACCATTTTTTTCTAATAAATGGTCTAAGCGTCCATCAATTTATTTAAATGAAATGAAATACACTACTTTGATGTACGAAATTTAAATTTCTTTTGTCAAACGTAATTTTTTTCCAAATAATTAGCGTTAGCCTGAAATGATCGTTAAAATTTGGAGAGAGCTTATCAGTGCATAGGAAATCCAAGCCAATAAGTGGTAGAAGGAAGGTATTCGAGTTGCCAGCCTCGTATGCTAGTAGGCAAGCCCAGTGTTGGGCTACCCTGCACTAGATCGAGTAACCTATGCGTAGCTCTATCTATGGTCAGCATATTCCTTTTTTCTTTTAAAATCGTTTCTCTTACTCTAAAATGTCCTCAAGAAGTTTCAAAATATAAACTGCACAAGGAAAAATATCTAATATAATATAATTATTTGTAGGCCATATAAATAGTGTCGAGCGCGATTTGAACCTGCGACCCTCAACACCGCAACTCAATACTCATCAATTGTGATACGGAGCCGTCAAAATGTTCAGCAGTAGAATTGTGATAGGACGTAGTCTGTGTGTGTAGTAAGTTGGAACAGCGACCATGAACACCTGTCATCGTCAACATTATCATTCTTACAGCCTATTTAAGTCCACTGCTCGGTGACAGCAGCTTTTAATTATTACTTGGAGTTGTTACCAGGAAGGTGCTACTGCACATCTTACGTTTTAGTTACCCTCTGTCGTCTCTTACGAAACTAACGGGATGATGGGAAGTGGTCCTCCTACACCTACTCTGCAGGGCGTAAGCCGCCACTACTCTGTGCATGTGCACCTATAACCAACTGTTAACAGAAAGGACGCATTGGAAGACTAGTGCATCGTACTACTTAGATAAGTGCTTCAACTTCCAACTGCTTGGCATAGTAAGACGAACTGTTATGAATAAAATGAGCACTGCCATCTTGTAATACGTTTTTATATTAAATAGAATAAGGGTGACAAACGAACACATAGTCCTGACGGTAAGTGAATGCTGTAGCCCATAGACATCTACATTTATCCTAGATTGAGAATCAAAATGCAGATGTGTTGTCACCCTTGAGGACTAAGGCAGAATGCATCATTTCCACCAAAAAGAGTCTCTGGTTCTCTACTTTTTTATAGGATAGGGTGACAAACGAGCACACTGTCCACGTGATAGTAAGTGGTTGCTGTGGCTCATAGACATCTACATTTATCTTCGTTTGCGAATTAAAATGCAGATGCGTTGTCACCCGTGAGGACTAAGATGGAATGCATCTTTTCCAGTAAAAAAGGTCTCCGGTTCTCTACACTCACCATACGAAACACAGCAGTGTTAAGCTGCTATTTTACGCTGGTATTCTGTGAGAGCGTGGTCCTTTCCCGGTCGAGCCGCCCCATTCGTGCTATAACTATACTATTAATATAGCTGCAGCATGGCTCTACCACGTAAACACACATCATACGAAACACAGCAGTATTATTCTGCTATTTCACGTTGGTTTCCTTCCCTGGTCGAGCCGACCCATTCGTGCTACAACCTTAATACCTATAGCTGAAGCGTGGCTCTACCACCTATCGAACGCGTTACAATTACTTCGTTGCTATGGTGACGATTCGTATATCGTAGCCGCCATAGTATCAATTAATGACTAAATCAGATTTTCGTCAAACTAAGTAAATATTACAGCAAGTGAATTAACTCGATGATTTTACTTGCAGGAAATGGCGAATCAGACCAAGCCCGACACATTGAACTTGCCAGCGAACTCGACCACCATCCGGGAGAATATTACTGACACCTTCAGGTATGGTGGGATTAAATTTAAGTTACAAAACTATAGCCGTGTAGCAGCGGTGTAAGAATATCCACTACCCCGTATCGTCTTGTGGGTGTCATGAGAAGTGACAGAGGGGAACAAACCATGAGATGGGCAGTATTTGTAAATTACAATCTGACGTGGATATCCCGACTGCCACCTTGCAAGCGTGGCAAATATGACAAAATATCCCCTAATGGGGCAAGCTAAAGGGAAACCTATGTTCAGCAATGGACTTTGATGGATTGTAATAAATAAAAACATAGCCAAAAATTGAATAAAACTAATTTTTACGGATTTTATCGCGTTTAATTTAGTTAATTTTAACTCCCCACGTTTCGGGTGCTTTACAGCACCCATGGTCACGGGGGACTGATGTAATTGACGTCCTGATATCAAAGTTAACCCGGAATACCAGCTTTTAAAGACTTCGTCGGCGTGCAATTTTGTTACGTTTGGATTTCATGTGTTTAATTTTTTTTACGCAGAACCCTAATTTTTTTTAATAAAGTAGCCTAAACTATTCCTTATATTATTATCAGCTATCTGCCAGTAAAAGTCCAGTCAAAATCGGTACAGCCATTTCTTAGATCAGCCAGAACAAATAAACAGGCTGACAGACAAAAACTTTAAAAATTGTATTTTTGTTATAAGTAGCGTATATACTTTTAATATGCATTTAGTAAAAAGCTATTATTTTGACATTATAAACAGACACTTCAATTTTATTTAGTTATATAGATAAGATATAATACACAAAATATATTACATATAACACTGCATTTCAGTTGTGAGAACCGCATTTATGGTTACTATGCTGACGTTGATAACGACTGCCAGATTTTCCACGTGTGCCTGCCCTCTCTGACTGTCACCGGGCGTAACATTACTTACAGGTGGAGTTTCATATGTCCCGCGGAGACTGTGTTCAACCAAGTAAGTAACTAAATAATAGAATCAAGCTTTATACATAATACCAAAGATTTTAAAAATTAATAAAATAAGACCCGCGCATTAAAATAAAATGATATGTCTTACTTAGTCTGAAGAGCACCTTCCGCCCTCCCTCAAATGCGTGTACTACCCCAGTCACCACTAATCCCAGCACTACTACACTACGAAAAACACACCACTGTCGTTAACACGACGGGTGCTTCGTTTAGAGGCGAAACACGCTGGATTTTGTAAGTCCACAGCTGTGTACAAGTCACAAGTCTCTTTCATGTGCAACGTCACAACACAGTGTCCGAAGTCTTGCACTTTTGCCACTGCTCTCCATTGTTCGCTCTTCTTTTTACTAGTGTATTCAAAACATTAGTCGCCTTTTAGGGCATTCTAGGGTTCAGACGAGATGTGTGAATATTGGCGGCATAAAAATGTTAAATGCTTTGAACTATTCTTTCTAAAGTGACAAACGAATTTACAGTTCATCTGATGGTAAGTGGCAACTGCAGCCATGACAAGTACCAACGACGAGCGGTACGGCAGATGTACATGACCTGCGGCCAAATTTCAACAGAAGGCTTAATCAAAATGCAGATGCGTTGTCATCTCTGAGGACAAGGATGAAATACTTCAGAGCCCATACTTATTATAGATTTCTATATCCTTCAGAGTGGAACACAGCAGTGCAAGCACTGCTATTATGCCAGCACACACACAGCTAACAATTGTGCAAAACGACGAATTGTTGGTATTTGTTTCGTCGAATTAATGTAATAATTTCTATTTTTATTTTGAAACATATTTAAACAATGGTTAAAATATTTTTTTAATGGAAAGAAGTTTCTATATCGTGAATGAACATTGAGTTCGGTAAAGAGTAAAATTGCATGCATAATTTAATTATTAATTAATTTCTAGACATTTTTAAGTAAACACGAATAATGTTATGTTATGTTTCATGTTTTAATTAACTTTTCTCACACAATATATTAAAAAAATTATTAACAATGTCAATAACATTACACCAGAATATCATGAAACAAGCAAGAATTTTTTTAATACTTTCGAATAATTATGTGATATAATTTTTTTTTTGTTAACAGGAAGTGTTAACTTGCACTAGATCAGGTGACGCAATTCCATGTGAAGAATCTCCAATGTTTTATGACGTTAATATGGAATTCGGGAAAGTTGCTAATGAGACAAAGGAGAACACAAAACCAGAAAGTTCTGGAAATACTTCAGCGAATAATCCTACCAGAAATACGGAGACAGTTGCAATTAAACCACAAAGGTGGAATCAAGCAAACAGAAAGAGACAAAACATTGTTGACGTAATTGATAACACGAAATCAACAAAGGAAGATATTAAGGAATATGAAAACAAAATTATGGGAGTAATGAAGGAAGATCTAGATATTAATAATCAAAACATGATTCATGAGATGAATCAAGATTTCAGTGAAATCAATCAAGAGATACACGTTTTGAAAGAAGAGATAAAGGATGTTGAAAGAGAAATAGTAAGTTATACAGATAATATTAAAGACAGTTATAAAGGAAAATCACAGGAATTAAATGAAAATGTCAGAGAATTTAACCAAAACGAGGGAGAAGACGATAGGTATAGCGAAACTAATAAGGAATATATGAATAAAATGAAGCAAAATGGAATTGAAATAAAAATAAATCCACAAATGAATGAAAATAATGAAGGTATAGAATTACCTCAGAGTATCTTGGAGAAAATAGAGACGATGAATGCTGAACCTATTGCACCTGCTGTTGTCGAGGAAATGATTCCTGATGTCGAAGAAGTTAGCGGCGAAAATACATCGGAAACGTTAGACAATTCTAGAATTGCATCTGAAAGGAGTTTAAAAAGAAAAGGTCGAAAAATCAACAGAGGTTCGCTTAAATTTAGACCTGATTTATTATAGAAATAATGAAGCAAGTGGCGTATTATAAATAAGTATAAATTACGTTTTACGATGATTTTTGAATCTGTGAATAATTTTTGGAAGTTCTAAGGAGTTAATCAAAGAGTAACAATAAAGTTTTAATAGCGGTATCTACTTACAAGTTGAGTTTTATATCTATTTTAGATATTTCTTACGTATATTATAGGTACATTTTTAAAATAAAGCCACAAAAGTGAGATAATATTATTTCACAAAAGCAATCAATTGCTCAAGTAAAACTTAACTTATACTTTTTGTACAAGGTCTTGCTCTGTTGAAAAATGTAAAACTAATCTAGGATTAGAGCTGTGTGCGATGGATTTGAATATGACTTGTAAATAGTAAATTTTACTAAAATTAAAGTGAAATATAGAGATACAAAAGATTAATAAGCATGATGTTTTATTATTTGTTACCGTTAATGAAGTGATAAATATTTTTTTATGGTTTAGAACAAGATGTTCTATTACATATTGAAGTAAGATTGTCTGTAAAACTGTGGGTAAGCTTTTATCCTGCGTCTGCATCGTGCAGGCAATTTACATATATATAATACAAGTATTGCACACAAACAGACATCCAGACCCGGAGCAATTATTTGTAGGCCATACAAACAATTTCATATCTCACATTTTTTATAAATATTTTTTGGGAAAAACACTTAAAATAGTAACACCTACATGTATCATATAAAGTATTATTAAAAATAAATTAAAAGTAAAAAACTTTTTCTAATACAAGCTTTTATTTAAATGCGTTAAATAAACTTTTCTTTTAAAACTTTTACTATCAACTTATAACGTAATTACACTATTTATATGATATAAAAACTGGTCGCGAGATTTACCTGCGTGGATAAACAGGATCTGATTGATTTTAATTTTTAAAATTTTCAAACTAAGTAAATCTCGTGACAAGCTTTTATATCATATAAATTATCAAAATATTATTTTTCTAATTCGCATTCGTATTCTCAGCAAGTCGTTTCATTTGATACCCATATTGTACAAAATCATGAAAAACTTAAAACGCCATCTTTAGATTAGATTTAGAGTGACGTCACTTTATTTTTCGAGTTATACTCAGCAAGCTCTTTCATTTGATACCCATATTGTAGGAGTGCATTAATAAATATTTAGTCCGCCACCTTGGGTGTTCCGCCATGTTAGATTTAGAATGACGTCATATAGCTAACCATGCATTGTCATCCAAACTTAACGTGTAAACAAAATTTCAGCTCAATCGGTTGAAGATATCTGCTTCTAAATTGAGTTGCAAGATTCCACCCGAACAAACATAGTTACATTGCTACGTTGTTATTTTTGCTTAAGACCTGATTAGACACACACACACACTCGTGCGCGCACACACAAACTCGCACACCCACTCACGCACATGCACGCACGCATACACACATAAATAGTCAGAACTTCTTTTTGGGACCTCAAAATGTCAAGATCTGATGAAAACTCGATTTTCGAAACCTCGGGTGATTTTTTTATATAGAATAAAGGTGACAAACGAGCACACAGTCCACAGATGGCGGACGGAGTGGATGCAGTGGCCCATAGACATTTATTAATTTATCCTCGATTAAAAATCAAAATACAGATGCGTTATTACCCCTGAGGACTAATATGGAACGCCTCGTTTCCGGTAAAAAAGGTCTCTAGTTTTCTACACACACCAAACTCACATTCTGTGAGAACGTGGCCCAGATCGAACCGACCCATTCGCGCTACAACTATAATATAGTGCTGCAGTGTAGCTCTACCACGTAGGGATACCCATTAGCCACGTGGTGGACAACTGTAACCAAGGATCTGGAACGAGCACAGTTTGACGTACAAGCAACCCAAGATAGAATATCTTGGCACATAAAAACGAGGAGAGCTGACCCCAGATATAGAGACAACGCAATGAATAATAAGATTGATAGGGCACGTGACTTAAGCTCACTTCAGGCTACGTTATAATATACAGCATATACATAGCTAATGTTATGTAGCACAACAATGACGCTCAGCATTCGTTACTATGGACACGTTCACACTATGCTTTTCACGTTCATATTATTGCTTACTTATGAAACAATGTGCATTATCATATAGTCTGAACTGAGCTTTAGCTTTTTTGTATATTATACCTATACATTTTTACAATTTTCTATTAGCGTAACAATTATAGATTAGCTAACTACGCTAGTCTCATGACACGGAACAAGTAAACTTGCAATAGATTGATTTCCACACATATGGCTCTCAGATGTAATCAATATAAATAAAATGATAGAGGTTTACAGTTGTGCGCGCATCACGGAAAATCTACTGGATAGATTTCAATAAAATTTTCTTCAAGTTTTATTTCTTAGACACTTGGCCTTTATCTAAGAAAAAATTATTGCGATATCTTAATTTAATATAAAGTTATTAAACTTAAAAAAAAACCTAGTTGAAAAAAATAATTTTATTGTAAAAAAGCGTGGGGTGCTTTTTTAGATATTTTTATGATGACGCTAATTTTACAAATATCCACATAATTTTACAAATATTTACAGCAAATCACATCAAGCACCCCACGCTTTTTTACAATAAAATTATTTTTTATATTAATCACTCTTTTTTTATTTTATATTTATTGAATATTATTTTCTACTTTTTAGTTCGGTTATCTACAAAAGCGGTTTTTTTATAGTTTAACTATAACTTATTTTCTACAAAAGCGTGTTTTTTTGGAACAAAGTTTTTTAATGCGGCTTACAGTAGATTGAACTGGCAGAAATTGTAGTTATTTTATGAATTATTCGCAAATCCTGAGGATCCTGGCAAGGATAATGGAACAAAATATTTAAATTATTACATTGGTATTTGATAAGTGTGCGAAGTTTCAAATAAATCCGACGTTTTGAAAGGGATTTAAATCAAATTCTAAAATTCCGTTACATAGATACATACCAAGCTAACAATAAAATAATATATAATAAAAATAAAAAGCACGTTAATAGCTGCTTAATGCTGTTGTGTTTTGTATGGCGAGTTTATATAACCAGAGACCCTCTTTACTGGAAGCTAGATATTTCACCTTAGGCCTCAGGGGTGACAACGCATCTCAATTTTGATACCTAATCTAGTGTATAAGCCGCAGAATCCACTTACCACCAGGTGGACTGTCTGCTCGTTTCTCATCCTTATTTTATAAAAAATATATTTTAAAAGGTTCCTACTTCTATATATAATAGAGTTGCTGGAGTGCATGAGTATATAGCTATTTGTACAATAACCCCAATAGTTGGTTAATATTGAGAAGAGCAAACAATTAAGCACGTAAAGCCTTCGACGCTGCGCTCGCTTTCTCCCCGGTCATGTCGGTTTACCGTCCCATCGGACTATGAGTGTGTGGGAATAAAGAGTGCATCTGTGCTTGCGCGTGCACTCGGGCACTATAATTCTGTCCTGCGCAGATGGTCAGTCTCCGTTGAGGCTGACAGCCGTGTCCGAAATTCGGTCTGGAGGATATTATTAAGAAGGACAAAATGAAGGTCATGGTTTAGCCACACATAAGCAGCGTTCAAATAGCGACCGTCTGCTACTGCGAACTTCAATCCGCCTGCTAAACGTGATGAATAAAGGCAAACCCTTCCAACAGTTGAAAGGCTCATTGACAACAGTGGACTTTTGTAGACTGATGATGATATTGCGGTGATATACTGGAACTTTATACGTGGTAGAGCCATGCTGCAGCTATATTATGGTTGTAGCACGAATGGCTCGGCTCGACCGGGGAAGGACCACGCTCTCACAGAATACCAGCGTAAAATAGCAGCTTAACGCTGCTGTGTTTCGTATGGTGAGTGTAGAGAACCGGAGACCCTTTTCAGTGAAAACGAGGCATTCCATCTTAGTCCTCACGGGTGGCAACGCATCTGCATTTTGATTCGTAATCGAAGATAGATGTAGATGTGTACGGGCCACAGCAACCACTTACCATAAGGTGGACTCAGTGCTCGTTTGTCCCCCTTATCCGAAAAAATATACTATTATCGTTAAAGGTTTGGCATTACATTACAATTTATTGGCGAGGGTGTTTGTATAGAAAATTTATCGGTGAAGTGTTAGCTTACCTACAAATTGAAGAATTGAACTCTAGTTGGCAATGTTCGAGAAATCCATCCATCTTTCCGTTACAGCCTATAAAAGTCCATTGCTAAATATAGGCCCCTACAACAGATTGCCTAATAAGAGGGGGGAGGGGCATTGCCATAGTTGCCACGCTTGCCATTCGGGTTGACAGCCTCATTTTTTTAATTTGAGTTGTTATCAAGAAGATGCTGCTGTCCATCTTCTGTTTTAGTTTCCCTCGTTTCTTGTTCATAAAAGAACCACCTTGAAATTTCCGAGAATTGCGCCTACCCACAACGCAAAGCAAGATGGTGACCACGCCTTCACCATTTTGCCTTGCGTATATTCTTGTAGTGGAAATACTGCTTCATCGCCAGTCGGTAGTGTTTGAGTTCATCGTTTATAGCTTAACTTTTCGCTATTACTACAAGCTACCACCACAGATAAAACACCTGCGGGTAAGATTGGCACTTCGAGAAAACGCTCATATCCACCCTTTTAGCCCCAAGTATACCCCAAATCAAAAGAAAAGGCTGTCGTAATCACAGCGTGATGCATTATGGTTTCACCGCGCATTAGGATCCTAAACGATTACATTTACATTACAGTATGAGACCAGAATAGAAACTTTTAAATTTTTATAACCTCTGCCGGACAAAACACCATATCTCATATCTATATTATCAGTGGTGTTTTAAAAACAGTGTTAAATTGAACCTTTGTTTATAATAACCACTACTTAGTAGGAGAATAGTGAAGAAAATAATTTTATTCACGCAAGCTAACCAATGATATTTGAAATCAGAAATCTGAAATTGCAAAAAGTTATTACATTATGCATAATTACACAAAGCAGTAAATGATAAATTGAAAGTACACACATGAGCATTTCATATAGCTGTCTTTGTTTTCTTATCACTGGAGTTAATAACATTTTTATATGCTTGAGTTCACATCGAAATACGGCTCTTAATTTAAACGCTCATTCTTTCTACGTTGTTGTATAGAATGTATGGAATATCTATAACAATGACTTGATTATTTTTCGATAAAATGAAAGTTCAACTACTGATTTTGTTTTGCGCTTGTATAATTATAGTAAAAGCAGATACAGACAGTGATGAAGCAAAGTACATTGATTTATTACCGGAGGAGGAGAAACAAGAATTTTTGAATAGAATTGCCAGGCGAATTCTAGCAGAAGTAAAGAGTGGAAGAAATGCCGCACAGTCCAGTATTGAAGTTACTGATGAAAAACTCAATGAAAACGATGCTTATGTTCAAAAAATTATGGAGGAAGAATCTGAAAGCATAAAAAATGAACGTAGATTAGGAATTGAATTAAAAAATAAAAATCCCAAAGATGACGATAACGTTGACATAAGAGTGAAGCCGTTACATGAAAACGAATTTAACGGTGAAGAAAATTCTGAAAATATAGATTTAACTGCTTACGAAACGAAAAAACGAATGAAAAAAGATACACCTGAAAATAGAAAGCCGACGTCAGATGAAAATATACCATTCAATAGGAATACAGTTTCGGAAATACCAGTACATGTAATTTATGATGATGAAAACGTAGCTAAAGGTAGCAATTTTAATAATGATAATGTAGAAGTTAGAAAAGATAACGATAAAGACGTGTTAATAAAAGAAGGGCCCAATCCAACGAGTTACGACCATGAAAAACAAGATTCACATGATAGACAAAATGAAAGTGAAAAGTCGGATGTCATAAATATGCGTAAATCAAATACTAATATTGATTTAGAGGAAAATATAGAAAGTAAAGATATGGGCTCTATTCCACAAACGCCTAGTAATGATTTTGGTCTACAGCAGGATGAATTTGAAAAGCAAAATGCAATGATTCCAAATGATAATGTTAAAAAGTCTTCAACAGAGGCAGAAAATCCAGAGACGAAAAAAGGATATATCCAAGAAATTGATTCCCCGCAAGAAAATGGTGCTGATGATTCTCTTGTAATGAAATATAGAGAAAATGCTACAGAGAATAATTTAGATACTAGGTCTAACATGACAGAAGTGGAAAAGGTCACTGTCGATAATAACCAGTTAGTAACCGGCTTAACAACAGATGCTTCATACGTTTTGAATACAAATTCTGTTAGTATTAAAAATAATACTGCCAGTACTTCAGGTGAGATATTAAGAAATGAAGTTAATTTGGGGAGAATAAAGTCTCAGCCTTTTTTAAATAACACAAAGGACAAGAAAATAAAGTCTGAATCAGAAAGTCAGACTAACAAGATTGGTATACATTATAATAAGAACTTTACAAATAATGACAACTTGGAAACATATATAGCGTCAAGCAAAGATGATTTGATTGAAGATAATTCTTTTAACAATTTAACATTGAAACAAAATAATAATTATGAGAAAAATACCAGCAATGAAGTAAAAATGAATAATAAAGGAAATAGCAGCGATAAAACTGTATTACGACAACTCAATGAAGATTCCGCAGAAGATGCCGAGTATGCATCCACAGAAGAAATTAATGTCAAAACAAAGAACTCTTACTCATTTCTACCATACAATACACACAACACGAATCACTATAACGTGTATGAAATTTGTAAGTATGATTTTACTAAGCATAATTGTATACTAAATAATATTTTTCTTTCTTATACATATTTTAAACTGTTCATTAATTATAATAGTAATATCTTTTCTTAATTTTAATGCGTTTTTTTTGTACTATCAGATAATGCATATGCAATTAATTCGCCAAGTATTTTTGAGATTATATTTTAAAAGGCTATTTGTAAGTCTTCCACATTTATATAGGATGTGATGGAAGACCTAAATAGATTAATAAAATGTTTTTTTCTATAACTATATATTCTTAAAGTTTTTATCAACCTATTTTTTACGACGAATGGAAGTATTAATTATTTCCAATAACCCTTATTTTAACATGGTTCATAAAATATCCTAACCAGTTATGGGACAATGTATATTTATTAGTAAAACACAATATATAAAAACATTGTGTTTTTATAGTAACGTACCGCTCTTATTATGCACATACTAAATACATACATTCTCAAGAACATCCATTTGACATGATCCTGGCGTACCTCTTTCGCAATTTTTCACATCCAAGTATTTACGTATACATGCTTGTCAGTTAAGGGTACTCTTAATTGATTATACCCATCTTAAACTCTGTCACTTATTTTTGCAGCATAAATTGAATTTGAATATATTTTCTTATTCATTCTTTCTATGTGTTTAAGCCACAGAAGCAACGGGCGAAACGCGACAAGGCACGAACGCATTGTCGCGATCATGATAATACGTTCGTGACCGTCATTGTGGCGATGATTTGTTTTTGAACTGCATCCTAAGATCGTAGCTTATTACCTATACTATCGCTTGAGTGTTAAATTATACTTGAGTAATTAAGACCTTCACGGCTTCTATCGTTGCTCGCACACTTGTGGTATTAAGGTAGTAGCAATATGAATTAGAATAGAGTAGTGTAGCATCTTCATTACCCAGACCAGCGACGGGAAGCAGCGTCAAAGGTGCGAGATGTCTGATATTGCGATCTTTGCAATTTGGACAAATTCCCGTAAATGGAAGAAGCATAAGTCCAACAGAAGACTTTTACAGGCTATTGATGAAGAACATAATCATTATTACCTAATAAAATTACTAATGATGATGATTGTTGTCAAAATTATTATATATATACACAAATACTGATAAATGAAAATAATTTTGATAATTTTCTCGCATTACTTTCAACTCATTTTGAAATTCTAACGTACTGATTGTTTTGAAACGGGAGGACAAAAGTGATCAATGTTCTCATATTACAGTTAACCTGAGCTACCTTCAGGTTTTAATTACGAATCGTTACCTTTAAGAAACTTGCGGTGGTGTGCTTATGATTAGTATTACCGTTCCAGTTCTCTATTGAAGTAGGTATATTTTTTATTTTATTAATCTCGGTAGTCGTCAAAACGGGGCGATCGTAAACAGGCTTACAGTTAACATTATCATTATCATATGATTGTGTACTTAAGAAAATATTGTTTTAAATAGTAAGGCTTGTACATTATTAGTTGAAAGTTAATTCTGTTACTTTGCAGCTAAGGATAACCCTCCATTTGTACCGTCTGAACAGAAGAGTACTGTAGAATTTGTTGAAGAACCGTTTTACGTTCCTGTGTACAATTATGCACCTAGCAATGCTTTTTACAGTGCTTATAATCACTTTGGTCCTAATTATAAAGAAAATTATAAACTGATTCCAAACATAGGATCTTCTGAAAATGAAAAAAGTTACAAAAACAACAACTTAAATAACCATCAGGATTATACCAGAAGTAATTTGCGTGAGAAAAACAGTCAATGGAACTCTAACCAAAGTTCAAATAATTACGAATATAAACAGAGAAGCGTTGCTCATAAAAGTAACTTAAGACCTTTTTCAAAAGGGTTCGATGATGTGATTTTTAAACCTTATGAATATTTAGATATGGACTATTATTTAGGAAGAAATAGTAAAGAACCCGCATCCGTTTACAATTATTTAACTAATGGCAAATCCCACAATTTACCATTTAAACATATGTCAAAAGATTTGATATTGGAAGATAATTCAGGAGATGAAGATGTAATAGATCCTGATCCCAGTGCAGAGCAATATAATATGAAGGATAATATCAGAGACATCCGAAAAATACTATACTTACAAAAATATAAGCAAGCAAAACAGACATTAGACAAAAAAGGACTGGAAGACAAAACACAATTAAGAAAGCAAAATTATTTACTTGAATCGTCATTTAGAGAAAACGACGAAACCAAATTTGATAGAAGTTATACGCATGACCCTAAGAAAATTGACATAGCAGCCGATTATTACTATAGTAGAATGAATAAAGATGAACCACTTATCTACCATACTAAACCCAAAATATTTTTAGGAGATAAAAATGCTGTCAAAACCGATAAGGGTAGCAAAAGCGAAATTAAGCCTGCTTTCAAAAATATTAAAGTATTACAAGAAAAACGTCTTATAATCCCATTTAGAAATGATAGTATGTTAAAAATTGATCTAGACATGACTGAGGGAAATAAAATGAATATAATATTTAGAGAAGTGAAAAGGTCTGAACGTAACAAATTTCGTGCTTATTTATCAGCTTGCTTAAACGTATTAAAGGACATGATTGAACATGACAATAAAGGGCTACTGGTTTACGATTGGCTTAGTAGTACGGTAGATATACAGTCTGCAATAAGGAAGCTCTTCGATTTGACGTAAGTAAACTTTAGCTCTTTAAATTTTTTAATTAATTTAAAATACCCTTTCAGAATAACTTTTCTGCAAAAAATCTTTGATCCTATAGAAGGGCAATATTCATATAAAATTTTACTTAATTTATTCTACTGACATGCAAATGGATAATTGCAGTACCAGACGTCTTACGTCTCGACACAGCCGGTATAAGTGTTTTATTTCTTTTGTTAACCAAATGATGTATCACCATTTATCGGAGGTCATAAGGTCTTTTTATCATTTCCCATAACTATGGGTTATTTGGCAATAACCAGCTAAATTTGCAAAGAAGGTTCAGAATAAGTAACATAGGCGAATTGTGAAGAAAAATTAATTAATATAAAATCTAAAATATTGTGTCCTTTTAATCTTTTAAACTTAAAATGCGTGGTAAAGCATTATTCTGACTGATTTTACTGCGCACGCACACCTTCGTAAGGATCGATATATATATATATTTAATTAGTCGAGGTAGCTCAGATGGTTAGCGCTCGCTGTAAATTTCACAGTACGCGAGCAACCCGGGTTCGATCCCCGCCGGCACCAATGAAATTGTTAATTGCAATTATAAAGTGCTGATTTACCACGTGGTAGAGCCATGCTGCAGCTATATTAGTAGTATAGTTGTAGCACGAATGGGTCGGCTCGACCGGGGAAGGACCACGCTCTCACAGAATACCAGCGTAAAATAGCAGTTTAACACTGCTGTGTTTCGTATGGTGAGTGTAGAGAACCAGAGACCCTTTTTACAGGAAAAGAGTCATTCCAACTTAGTCCTCGCGGGTGCGTTGTCACCCATCTGCATTTTGATTCGCAAACGAGGATAAATGTAGACGTCTGTGGGTCACAGCAACCACTTACCATCAGGTGGACTGTGTGCTCGATTGTCACCCTATTCCTATAAAAAAAAGTGCTCGACGGTGAAGGAAAACGTCTTAAGAAAACCTGCATGTGTGAGAAATAAGGAAAAAATATTTCGATGACATGTGAAGTTCGCCAACACGTATTGGGGCAGCGCGGCGGACATTTCCTCGCCCTAAAACCCTCTAAGAAATGAGGGGAGGTCTATGCCCAGCCAGCAGTTGGACGTATATAGGTTGAAACTTTTATACATAGCTTTTTACTATATGCATATGAATGTATATATATATATATATGTATATATATATATATTTGGTACTAATAACAAAAACACAATTTTTAAAATTTTTGTCTGTCTGTTTGTTCAGGTTAATATCCGAAACGTTTCCAGTAAAAAGGGTTTCCGGTTCTCTACACTCACCATACGAAACACAGCAGTGTTAAGCTGCTATTTTACCTTGGTATTCTGTGAGAGCGTGGTCCTTCCCCGGTCGAGCCGACCCATTCGTGCTACAACTATACCACTAATAGCTGCAGCATGGCTCTACCACGTATAGTATAAATAGTGGTGCTTTTAGTACTGTGTTCCGACCTGAAGGGTATAAAGAGAGAGTATAATTACACACTGTTAAGCATATATTATATTATTGCTACACATTATACTAGCTCGCCAGGCAGACGTTAATCTGCCCTTTCCATCGATCCTTCCTGGAAAAATCCTTAAATTCGCAATAAAAAATTTTGAGGGTCATTTATCGAGATAAAAGCTATCCTATCTCTCAAGTTGGACCAAAATGCACACAGTGTACAAAATTTCATTGAAATCAGTTTAGTAGTTTAGGAGTCCATCGCGGACAAACAACGTGACACGTAAATATATATATATAGATATATATAAACAGCGCCATCTTAGCTACAAAAGGCTCGTGGTAGCTCAGATGGTTAGCGCTCGCTGTTAATTTCATAGTACGCAAGCAACCCGGGTACGATCTCCGCCGGGACCAATGAAATTTTTAATTACAACTTTAACTGCTGGTTTACCACGTGCTCGGCGGTGAAGAGAGACATCGTGATCGAGGAAATCTGCATGTCTGTGAAATAAGAAAACAAAATATTTCGAAGACATGTGATGTTCGCAAACACGCTCTGGGGCAGCGCGGCGGACCCTTCCTTGCCCTAAAACCCTCTCAGAAATGAGAGGAGGCCTGTGCCCAGCTGTGGGACGTATACAGGCTGTAACTTTAACTTTTAATACAAGTACAAAAGTGTTGGTGACGAGGTTAGACTTTAGTCTTTATCATCATTTCGCATCCGCATTTTGATTTTTAATATCAGATAAATTGAGGTGTCTATGGACTCCAGCAATCACTTACCAGTGGACTGTGTATCTATGTGTTAGTTCGTTAGTCGTAGATACTTGTATAAAACATAGATTATTGGTTACGGTACCAAATTTGCCTGATAAGAACCATTTCACTGTCCTATGAGACATATATGAACATATCAATTTTTAACTATTGCGTCCTTTGGTTGGTGGTTATTGGTTAGAGTTTTTTTCTCTTTTTTTTATAGGATAGGGTGACAAACGCGCACACAGTCCACCTGATGGTAAGTGGTTGCTGTGGCCCACAGACATTTACGTCTATCCTCGTTTGCGTATCAAAATGCAGATGCGTTGTCACCCGTGAGGTCTAAGATGGAATGCCTCTGTCCCAGTAAAATTGGGTTTCCGGTTCTCTACACTCACCATACGAAACACGGCAGCATTAAGCTCCTGTTTTACGCTGGTATTCTGTGAGAGCGTGGTCCTTCCCCGGTCGAGCCGACCCATTCGTGCTACAACTATACTACTAAGCTGCAGCATGGCTCTACCACGTAAAAAAGAGTATCATGTTTGTCTAATACAAACTTAAACTAAAATGACAAAACCAGTCAGTTGAGATCAAATCCAGTCCGAAAGAGAAGCTATGGCTGTGTGTGTAAATCTCTCACTGCAGGCAGTCTCCAAATGGGGCGATACCAATCTCGTTAAATTCAACGCCTCCAAAACACGTGCGTGATTTTGACCGCTAAAAGGAGTCCGCCCACATTGCCCCTACTTTCCGGAATGTATATTTGGAGTACACTAACCGCCTTCAGTTGCTAGGGGTTGAATTTTCAACAAACCTCAACTATAGGCGGTTTATTTAGTACAAGGAAGCTAGGTGTCCTTGCAAGGTTGCGGACTTCACGCCGGGGCAGTTTCTTACCTTATATAAAGCGCAAGTCCGATCTTGCATGGAGTACTGCTGTCATATTATATGGGCTGGTAGAATGCCACCTAGCAACATTGGGCTCAATGAAGAGACGTGCTAAGAGGCTCATTGGTAATTTTGATTTGTTTGAAACCAATCTTGTCAGCCTCGTGCATGGGCGCAGAGTAGCCAGCCTCTCAGTATTCTGTAAGTGTGCGCAGGAACTACATACTTTAATTCCTCCCTTTCCATTCCACCTTCCGATAACTATTAGATCGGCGGGTCTTCATGCCTTTGTTGTCAATATTCCACGCATTAGAACCAAACGGTTTGCTTTGTCTTTTGTAATGCGTACACCAAAGCAGTGGAATAATTTGCCGGCGTCTGTCTTTCCATCTGAATACAATCTGGGCATCTTCAAGGCAAGAGTGAATAGGCTTTTAAGACTAAGACAGTGCGATTTACCATCTAGGGCTTCATCACTACTTACCACCACGGGGGATTGTGGTCAAGCAGTGGCTCATAAAAAGTAAAAAAATATATAAATTCTTTTATTTTTAAATTTGTAAAATTTTGCTGGTAGCCGGCGCATTGCTGCCACAGAAAAAAATATATTGTCGAAATATTTACATTATTTAATTAGGGATGATAATACATTTCTTGAAGTTGACTGATGTATAACTTTCAAATAAAATTGTTAGAAAGATACGCGCGCCGCCTATTTTACATTAAATGTACTATGTTTATAAACGAATTAAAACAAGTGCAAGCAATAAGTTGACAAAGTTTTAGCGCCATCTGACGAACGGTATGGCAGCGCATAAAATACGAACAAACAAAAATTGTTATTTTTATATGTATAAGATTTATCAACTATTGATTAGTAGCTTCATACGGACACTGTAATTGTATTGATCATATGAACGTCTACATTAACGATGTTAAAGTAATAATATATCTTAATTTTCAGTAACAATTTACAAAAACGTAGAGACGTTCATTATTCAGATGTAGAACTTATAAAATACATTATGTATCTGTTCAAATCTTCGAATACGCGCCACGAAGAAGATAAGCGAGAACTAATTTATAAAACTCGCAGTGGAAACCACCTGGAGAAGCATACTGTCAAAAGAAAAACGCCTTTGCCAAAAAATTATCATAAGAAATGTGGAGAGAAGATAGAGAAACCATTGCAGTTGTGGATAAAACAGTACAAGACTAAAAGAACACCTTTGGTTGAAAATAACGTTCTTTTAGAGTTTGAAGACTTTTTGACAGATCTACAAGAAAGTTTGTATGAGGTAAGAATAAAATCATTCGTAGTTTCATTATTAAAATTATAATTTTAATAATGAAACTACGAATGGACACATCGATTACAGAAGGTGACCTGTGCCGCCCCCCTCCTGTAAACTTCTATCACGCCATGCTGCAACTATATTATGGTTGCAACACGAATGGCTCGGTTGGTGGGGGTATCCTCGATTAAGAATCAAAATGCAGAGGCGTTGTCACCCCTGGAGACTATTTTTTTTATAGGAGAGGGGGCAAACCAGCATAAGGCTTACCTGATGGTAGGTGACTACCGCCGCCCATGATACAACTGCAACACCAGGGGCATTGCAGATGCGTTTCCGGCCTCTTTAAAAGGAGTACGCTCTTTTCTTGTAGGTCCCTAAGTTGTATCTGTCTGGAAAAATCTCTAGTAAAGTTGTGAGAGGAAGAAAAATTATTTTAAATCGCACAGTGGTGGACCGCCAGTCATCCAGATGGTATGGATGGTATCGTGAGTTTTATCGCGATGTTCGATGATGAAAGAACATTGGTCACGGCCCATATATGCTGGGATCTGGCTATAAAATATCTCGAACATGACTAGTGTATGAATTAATCAGTTCCCCCTTATGTATTTCGTCACTTTTGAGGTTATGATGTAGCAATGACTGCAGCCATGACTACAACTTCAAGTAAAACAATTTATATGAAAACTATGCAGTATTATATACTTAACTAAATAAGTCAAGTCAATGGCAAAAACCACAAAAATGAATCAATAACCTTTCTAATCTTTTAACTGCTAAGTATCTAAGACACAGATGCTTTGACTTTTGCTCACGCTTTTACAGATCTCGTATTAACCACAGACCATACGTATTGATTAATTAATAAACGTAGTGATAATATTCTCTTTGCCACAGACTGCATAGAGACACTCATACTACGTTCCGTTCTAAGTATTAGTGCATTCTATATTTACTGTCAACCTATCATTCGCAACTTAATTCGGAATACTTTCCATATCCTCATCTAAAAATGATATTATTGATAATACACTACAAAAATAAATAAAAAGTCTATAATAAAATTTAGTACACAGATAAAAACGGGACGGGTTTAAATGCGCTCAAAAGTAGTAAGGAAATGAAGTTTTTCATTACAAAGCTAAATTATTTTACCAGCTCCGATAAAATAAGTTTGACCCCGTAATTTAATATACACCTAAGTCACTATTTTTTGACATATCAATCATTGGTGGTCGTTTCGTATTTTGATCAGGTCGTAATTGACCGATGTTCTTTTGCGGCTGGATTTAGTCTGAATAATTCCTCAGAGCACTCCCCGTGGTAAATTCGATAAAATACGCAAAGAAATGCAACATCTCTTCGCAGTGCCAGTGAGTCAAGCCGATCGAAAAGAGTTCGGTCGCCGAAGATTCGAACAGCTCTTCGCTGGAAGCGATCAAATGGAAGGAGCTGGCACTGGGGAGCCCCAGCCCAGAGATGGGAATAGTATTCCATGTGAGAACAAACGTGCGCCTTGTAAAGTTGCAGGCGGTGTGCTGGCATAAAATACTGTCACGCCCTGCTGCACACGCCAAGCTTTTAGAGGCTAATTTGGCCTTCTCTTCCAAGTGACCACGAAACTGCACGTCACTCGATATGTCGACGCCGCGGATTCCGATACTGGCTTTTTTTTATAGGAGAGGGGGCAAACGAGCATGCGGTTCACCTGATGGTAAGTGACTATCGCCGCTCATGAACAACTGCAACACCAGAGTAATCGCATATGCGTTGCCGGCCTTTTAAAAAGGAGGTATTAAAGGTCCCTAAGTCGTATCGGTCCAGAAAAATCGCTGGTTGTAATCGCTTCCATTAGGAAGTTGTGCGAGGGAGAAAACTTCTTCTGAATCGCACAGTGGTAGACCGCCAATCATCCAGATGATATGGATGGTATCGCGAGTTTTGTCGCGATGTGCGATGGTGAAATTCAGCGGCTGGAATTAGTCCGAACAATTCCTCAGGGCACTCCCCGTGGTAGATGCGATAAAATACGCTAAGAGATGCAACATCTCTACGCAGTGCCAGTGAGTCAAGCCGATCGAAAAGAACTCGGTCGTTGACGATTCGAACCGCTCTGCGCTGGATGCGGTCAAGTGGAAGGAGCTGGCACTGGGGAGCCCCTGCCCAGAGATGGGAACAGTATTCCATGTGATGCCGAACCTGCGCCTTGTAAAGTTGCAAGCGGTGTGCCAGCATGAAATACTGTCCCGCTCTGCTGAGCACGCCAAGCTTTTTAGAGTCTCCCAAGTGACCACGAAACTGCACGCCACTCGATATGTCGACACCGAGGATACCGATACTGGCTGAGGCAACAAGGGGAAACCTGAAGCCTTGAAACTGAGGAGATACGACAAAGGGATTCTTTTTAGCGGTAAACGCGCAAACTTTTGTCTTCTGTGTATTGAACTGGACTAGATTTAGTCGCTCCCAGTCTGAGACTTTGTTCAACAAAGTCTCGACTTCAGAAATAAGTTTGTTCCGGTACTCGGCGACGTTTTCCCGAGAAATATTGGCACGGCCGGTGTATAAAGCATCACCAGTGCTGTCGTCTGCATAGCAATGAATGTTACTGGTTTGCAACATATCATTGATATGCAGAAGAAACAGCTTTGGTGATAGCATGCACCCTTGTGGAACACCAGCGTTAATGGGCTTGTAATCGGAGCATGCACCGTCTACTACGACCTTGACGATCCGATCTGCAAGAAAACTGGTGATCCAATTGCACAATTTCTCGGGAAGCCCATAGGAAGGCAGTTTCGAAAGAAGCGCTTTGTGCCAAACCCGATCGAAAGCCTTCGCTATGTCCAAACTAACGGCCAACGCCTCCCCATTGGACTCCACTGCCTCCGCCCATCTATGAGTCAGATAGACCAGAAGATCACCAGCTGAGCGATCTCGACGAAAACCGTACTGGCGGTTACTAAACAGCTGGTGATCCTCAAGGTACAGCATGATCTGGCTGTTAATAATCGTTTCCATTACTTTGGAGAACAAGGAGGTGATAGCGATAGGCTTGTAGTAGGCAACGAGGGGAGTGCTTTGGAACTGAGGAGATACGACGAAGAGGTTCTTTCTAGCGGTAAATGCGCAAACTTGTGTAGTCGCCCCCAGTCCAGTTGTTCAACAAAGTCTCAACTTCAGACACAAGTTTGTCTCTGTACTCGGCGACGTTTTCCCGAGAAATATTGGCATGGCTGGTGTACACGCCCCTAGTTGCCCCGACAAAAGTCGATCATACAGGGGCCCATACAGCTGTAGATTCGACGGACAACTAAGGGTGGGGCTCAAAATGCCTGATGGACAATTATCCTACACAATAGATGTAAGGCTAGGTAATTAATAAGTACTTACCTGGTTTCGAATCGAGAACCGACCCAAGGCGAGGTCAGGCGTTAAGTATGTGCATGTAAGTAGTGTGGAGTAGTGTGGACATGTGTAACCTGATTTAACCGTGGAAGTCGAACCGCAGATCCGCAGGCGCTGTTCTCCAAATGTGCGATCCTCCAGTGATAGTTCACTTTATCTGAACTCAAGTCTGACGTCACTTCACTATTTCAGTCTATCAACTTTATTGTACATATAATTAACTTCAAAGTCAACCAATTCAACGTTCATTGAAATCAAACACGTGACACCCGACACAAGTAACGAACAGTCGTTCAAAGTTCAATATTCAATGTTCCGGGTTCCTTTAGCACCAAATTACAAACAGGGAACGAATGCGATCTCTTCTCGAGTCACAAAGTTCAGCGTTCCAAACAACAAACTAAATTCCTTCGTACGATATTAAATACCACGCCCGCAATTAGAACTCAATATCCGCCTCGTTGACACGTAAAACGATAGAAAATAGTTAACACACAAAAGGCACTTAACGCGACGTTACATATCAACATTAACTTCCAAAAACAATTAACCGGGTCACGTCTTTCAACGAAGTTACCTTAATCACTCAAATTCAATACTAGCCTCTTCTCACGAAACGTACAAATTAGACAAACTAATTCGATGCGGTCTACACGAAACCCCAAATATTCAATAGTAAACTAGACGCGCACAATTACTTCTACTCTAGACCACCAAAACCAAAAACTGGCCGCGCGTAACCGATCCAGCGGTCGCAAATAATACACTAGTCGACAGAGCCGCTGCGGTCAAACTACTGACTTCGCACTCGCGTCCTGCGCTGCCAAGCGTGGAAACTATGGTAAATTATCCCTGCTGAGGCAATCCATGAGGAGGTCTATGTTCAGCAGTGGACTTTGATATGCAGCAACGATGATGATGTTGATAGTATGTAATGTGATGCAGAATGTCAGTTTGAAACGACTATTTTTAATCTGCGCTCGCAGTAATACTTCAGGATTGAAGAATTGAATTGTGAAGGACTAGGATAGCATAACTTTAAAACTATATTATTTCAGCTTCACGAAGCAATCAAACAAATCGCGACTGTAACGAAATTTAACAAACAAGCGTGGTTCAATGATTTGAAAGTACTGCATTTGTTACCAGTAAGCAGAAGTAAAACTCTCGGTCTTCTCTTACACCTGGTTACTACTAAACTCTTTCGCCTCATAGAAGAGAGTGCGAAGAGTGGCTTGGAAGAAAATTTTGTATCCTACGTACAGAACCACCAAGCAGAAGTAGAGAATACAAAAGCTGAATTAATTTTTGTTTTGAGACTACTGAAAGAAATAAAAACATTATAAAATTAAGTCTTTTGTATTATTTAACAAGTCTTCATACACCCACTATGTTTTAGGACTTCTTTTCTGCCTATAAGTCCGCCAGGGTAGTTTTTTTTTATAGAAATAGGCTGACAAACGAGCACACAGTCCACCTGATTGTGAGTGTATACTATGGCTTATACACTTATCCTCAATTAAGAATCAAATTTCATCTGCGTTGTCACCCCTGAGGACTAAGATGGAATGCCTCGTTTCCAGTAAAAATGGCATCCAGTTCTCTAAAATCACGCAGTACCAGTCGTATCCCTCTTACGTAACTGCTTATTACTTTTCCGATATAAAAATTATTTTAAAACAGCATGGAAGCCATTCCCATATTCCCAAGGGCTACAATTTGGCCCAAGGGTCATCGATTTTTAAGATTTGCTATAATCGGTTTGTATACTTAGGCACATAGGCTTATGCTGACTCCACATTCAGTATGTAATTAAGCTCGACAAATTCAATGAATAAAACAATTTTTTTATATATCGATTTAATTGTATCACAAAATTTCACAAAGCTCGTTACATTATCTTAATTCAAAATAAAATAAATACTAATACTAATAAGTTAATATGATCAAATTATGCATCATTAATATTATACACTATTTACAAATAGCTTCATTATGTTTGGCTTGATAAAAATCACTATTTACGAAAAATAAAAAATAAAAAATTGAATAAAACTATATTTACGGATTTTATCGCGTTTAATTAACTTATTTTATATTCCCGACGTTTCGGTTGCTGGAAACCGAAACGTCGGGAATATAAAATAAGTTAATTAAACGCGATAAAATCCGTAAAAATAGTTTTATTCAATGTGTAGTGTTCGCGTAAATATAAGCAATCATTAAATAAAAAATTATCAAAATGAAAAAAAAAAGATGCAAGATTATGTCTATCAGTGCAAAATAAGAATCGGACTGGATTCATTATAACAATGCGCCACTTAGGAATGGGGCGAAATATTTGGCAGGCTTAGCGGAGAAAGTTAATTTGTCAGAACAGTGTAAAGATTTATGTTTGTTTCTGAAATATTAGCCATATTTTAAATTAATTAAATTAGAAACGAATAAAGAAGGCTACGGGTATTCCTAGAAGTAATACCTAAATTAACAAAAAAATGTTAAAATGTGTAAAAAACATACAACAACACATTACAACTCTGAGGTATTGTCTTGCTTATACACACACAGTAGAAACCCAAAAACTTATTTAAAAACGCAACTTTTCAATGATGACGACACAGTGTGACCATCTGCGTGATAAATAGGGTCACCTTATTCCCAACTAGCGACATCTGGTGAGCGTAAAATTATTAGCCCTCAATATTTCACTGTCATGAAATAAAGAGCCGTGGTAGCTCAGATGGATAGCGCTCGCTGTAAGTTTGACAGTACGCGAGCAACCCGGGTTTGATCCCCACTGGCACCAATGAAAATGATCATTTACCACGTGCTCGGCGGTGAAGGAAAACATCATGAGGATACCTGCATATCTGAGAAATCAAACAAAAATATTTCGAAGACATGTGAAGTTCGCCAACACGCATTGGGGCAATGTTGACCAAAATAAATTGTTTACACAAAGTACCTATCAAATCGATATAGGCTGTATAGTACATTTGTATTTTTGTGTATCAAATACCAAAAAATATGAAAGCGCCTTTAAATTTTAATAGCAATAAAACTTGATAGTCATTTTATTAACAAATTACACGTACTAGGCTATAACAATATATGAAATAGGAAACCAGTTGATGTAATTCTGAAGCTAATAAAAAATACCCGGTCTCGATACGTCAATTTTTTCGGGAGTTATCATGACCACATACAAAAGCAACATCCGGACATCGACGTAATTTTTTTAAAACCGTTATTTTTTTTAAAGTAGCTACATAAAATTATTTTTTAGATAATTGAAAATTAAAAATTTTGTACAACCGACTTCAATATAAATTATTAAGAATAACTCAAAAACTTTTGGTCAAACCTTGAACAAATTTATATGAGACCACATGAGAAGCACTAGCTTTCATACAAAACAGAATCATCGAAAGCGGTTCACCCAGAAAAACGTTATGAAGTAACACACATAAAAAAAGAAAAAAAAAACATACAGTCGAATTGAGTACCGTCTCCTTTTTGAAGTCAGTAGAAAATATAAGATGGATTAGTTAGTGTTTTCTTGATATACGGCTACTCATATTATCGTACAAGTGCGATGTGGTTATGATAGAGGCATTTGAAGAACTCAAAATTGCTTGACCTTGACGTGTTGAGAGTAAAAGGCTTCGCGTTATGAGGCGTGCAATAACAACCCAAACATACCACCGTAAGACTACATTCACTATAAGTTCTTTCTGCGTAGATCGGACTAACCATTAACAATTTTAACCTGAAGGGCCTGGGTTATAATATATCATTGGAAGTTTAAGCCTCAGTTCCCCCTAGACCAAGAATTTCGTAATAACCCGACACCAGGATTAATTGCTACATAACCCTTTTTTTAAATAATAAGGGTGACCAACGAGCACACAGTCCACCTGATGGTAAGTGGATAGTGGATCTACAACTATACTCAATTAAGAGGCAAAATGCAGATGCGTTGTCACCCCTGAGATCTAAGGTGGAATGCCCGGATTCCAGTAAAAAGGGTCTCCAGTTTTCTAATTCACAGTACGAAACATAGCAGCATTAAGTTGCTATTTTCGCTGGTATCCTGTGAGATGTGATCCTTCCTCAGTCCAGCCGATCCATTGGTGATACAACCATAATTTTGATGCACTTTAGCTCTATCACTATGACCCTCTCAGAAATGAAATTTTTATACATGAAATGTATTATTGTATAATTTTTTGAACATCCTACACAACAAACTTGAAGTTATGCAAAACAAAATGTCACTGTTTGGCCTATTATTATCGTGCGGCCCTTATTTAAAGGCCAAGGTATTTGCGGTATAGTTTAGCAGCCATTATAAGAAAAAAAATGAGGTAACAATTATATTTAAAAAAAACATTTTGTTAATTAATAACTCTTAATAATTTTACTCTATAAAATTTAAAGGCAACCTTTGGTTTAATAATTACAAATTAAAAAAAAATTGTACAACCAACTTCAATACAAATTATTAAGGATAACTCAAAAACTATTAGTCAGAACTTGATCAAATTTATATGGAACCACATAAAAAGCACCAGCTTTCAAATAAAAACGAATTATTCAAATCGGTCTACCTAGAAAAAAGTTATGAGGTAACACACATAAAAAAAGAACACACAGTCGAATTGAGTACCTCCTTTTTTTTGAAGTCGGTAGAAAAAGATTGAAATTATAAGGTATAATTATTTATTATTTCAACATTAGAGTGAACATTCCATCTGGTAGTAAAAGTCTACTGCAGTCCACAGCCCATAGACACCTGAAACCAGTTTATTTTTACTTATTATAACCGAGTGCTTGACCAAAATCCCACGTGGTAAGTGGGATTTTAGGGCGACTTTAGGGGTGGAATTTTCACTCCAAATTTATATGGGACCGCTGTTTAATATAAACATAGCTGTATAATAATGTCACATTTTGAAGTCGGTGCTAAGACACATTTTACAGAAGAATTGAAAATTATTTAATTGTTTTTAGTTTTATGTGGACTAAGGAATAATCACAACTTCAATGTCGTCTAAACAGTTACATTAAAAACTTATCCCCTATTTTGCCATCCTGGGGGGGGGGGGGGGGTCGATTTACAAATGACAAAGATACCGCGTAACCTACACACGAAGAAGTACACACAAATTGTAAGCCACCTCAGTCAGCTCAAAATAAATTATAAATGTTTTTACAATAGACTAAAAATAGTTTTATATATATATATTTAACATAAATATTTACATCTATAAAATATAGTTATTTTTTTCTCACTCGCATTTGATATCTTGCATTAATTCGACTATGTTTAAGCAGAAGACTTCTATGTACGCGAACGTTGTTTTCGACAATCTATTTTCGTATTTGCCTAAAAACAGTAACTGTCGTAAATGTAAATACAACTGCATGGCATATTTATCACGCCTGCTAAATATGCCACGGGCGCACGATCCACTGAAGTGACATAGTCTTTTTCTAAACCCTTACTTTTTGGCTAAAAGTAATGCGAGTTGCTTTAAACTCTGCCTACCACCTCGAGGATTACAGGTGTAACGTATACCTATGTTTATATATATATATATGTTTAATTCTATACACTTTAGTAACACTAAGCTGAATCTTTGTTAACCAGTTCGTTTAATCTTTGGTCACAGTTTAGGCCTCCGTTTCGAAGTCAGCTTCTATCTCTTCAGGTGTCCTCAGGTCTATTGCGAATCGTTTCTTTAAATTTGGCGGCCTCTCATCTAATTCTGAAACAAAGTATCTTGTGATGATTTTTAAATTACTTTTTGAAGTGAACCTTTTCTATCGACGTAGTGGAGAATTTTAGTCAGGTATTAAAAAAAATCATGTTTTCTCGTAACATTTCACGACCGGGCTGCATGAATATACTATTATTTAACCAACTTATGTAAAATATAAAATAAAATAAGAATGATATGGCGTAAAGAAGTTTCACTTCGTACGTGTGTACACAATTACTCGTACAATTTTTTATACAGGGTTATTTTGCAATAACAGGCCAAATTTGCAGAGAAGGTTAGGAGTAAGTAATATAGGCAAATGGTGAAAAAAAATTATAAAATAAAATCTTAAATATTCTGTCCTTTTTATCTCTTAAATTCAAAATGCGTGGTAATACATTATTTTAACTGAGTTTACTGCGCACGCACACATTCGTAAGGGTCGATCGGTAGGCAAAAACGTTGTTGCCCATAAATCACATTCAATTTGGGATAATTTCAAATAAAAGTAGAAACCTTATTTAGGAACTCGTATTTACAAAAACTGATTAACGGTATATCATTATTTATATATTTGAACTTGAATTTAAATTTGGCTACTCTATGAAAAATAACGCTGTATATTAATTGATCCATTAAGGCCTGTTAAATTTTAATGCTGAACAAAGGCCTCCATAGCTTACCTTATACTGGTTTGGCCATAGTTGCCATGTTTTTTGTTATTTTGAGTTGTAATCAGGTAGATGCTGTTGCCCATCTCTTGTTTCAGTTTCCCTCTGCCGCCTCTGACGACCATCCACGGGACGATATGAGCTAGTGGATTTTCTTACAACACTACTACTACATGATGTTAATTTTTGATAGGGGAAGATTATCATCACGGAGAGAGCCAAGTCCTAAATAAAGCGGCGTGGTTTTTATCACTGAAGAAAAGATGGAATATAATATACTCTAGAGGACCCAAAAACGCCGTAATGGTTTTTTTTACAGGATAGGGTGACAAACGAGCACACAGTCCACCTGATGGTAAGTGGTTGCTGTTACCCATAGACATCTACATTTATCTTCAATTAATAATCAAAATGCAGATGCGTCCACACCTATGAGAACTAATATGGAATGCCTCGTTTCCAGTAAAATGGGTCTCCGGTTCTCTACACTCACCATACGAAACAAAGCAGTTTCAAGCTGCTATTTTACGCTGGTATTCTGTGAGAGCGTGGTCCTTCCCCGGTCGAGCCGACCCATTCGTGCTACAACTATAATGCTAATATAGCTGCAGTATGGCTCTACCATGTATGAACGTGGTACGTGGTTAAATACTGGCAATGTTATTAATATTTCTTTTTCTGACCTCCCATCGGCGCTGATAGTGACCAGCTTGAGGTATTTTTTGAAACTGAAGTAACAAATTAACTCACAGCCTACCTTGTAAGTGGCTATTGCAGTCCATGATGGACTCCTGTCACCAACTTCAAACAAAAGGGTACAGGTGACGTTACCTCTGATGACTAAGATGGAATACCCCATAGCCTGTAATTATACTGGCTCTCTTGATCTTTCAGATCAGAACAGCAATGCTGCTTGCTGCTTTGTGGCAGAAATAGGTAAGTAGGTGGTTTCTTATCAGACGGACTCCTGGATAGAAAAGTAGTCCTTTCACCGAATAAATGCCAGGAGGAGTTCCACATAACCTTTCAGTAGGTTGTTCTCACTAGGTCTTTACCGTGGTAGGGACTTTTTGAAGCGAACGCTTAGCGTCTGACTTTCAAATTGTTTTTTATAAAAGCATATTTTGAAGAATTATATTAGGCTGACTTCGTAGCCTCCGAAGCAGTAAGGTATCCATGGGGACAGATGAAAAAGATACAAATATCTATTACGCAATTACTATAGATATTATCAGTTACCTGGGGCAGCCTGCATTTCCTTAACTCTTCTAGAATAATCTTGAAACGCCGCTGCTAGTGAGTATGTAAGTCGTCTTGCGGCATTCCTTAAAACAAATAAATTATTATAAGGTAACGATTGCAAGGTTTCGTATTTACATCTGCATACATTACAATTCTAATAATTGCAATAAATCCAATAATTATAATAAATTCAATAATTACAATAAATACAATAAACTCAATAATTTTAATAAATATAATCACCGCGTAGTGGCGTAATTAGACAATATATGACCCCATATCATCATGAATAAAAATAACCCCTAAGAATCGGTGATTGCAAACGGCGGACGTCATTTTCTACTAGCGAATCGTTGAAAAGTTAGTGAGAGAAGTGTACACTGCAATGGGCTAGTGCGAAAAAAATGCACACAACATAAATTTTAAGTGCTTATTTTGCAATTACTTGAAACCTGCATGACTGCAAAATTATAAAAATTTCGAAAACTTGTGAAGTCCATCACGCATTTGCTATACTTTGTCGAACTGTACTTTGCCGAATTCGATATTATACTTTTTCTTTTTGTCAGCCTGTAACTGTTGGACATGAGACTCAAGGGTAACAGATGTGTAACACTTCTGACACTATTTAAATATATGAGATGTGTCGCACCTTAGGCACTGTTTACAAATAAGACGGTATTATCACCACATATCAGGGGCCCAGAAATCTGAGTCATTTACGACAAACAAGACAAAATATTAAAAAATCTACATATATTTTCGCCGCAAATTAGACTTGATACTATCTCATTTGAGTATTTTTTTATAGGACAGGGTAACAGACGAACACACAGTTCCCCTGATGGTAAGTGGTTGCTGTGACCAATTGATACCTACATATATCCTCAATAAAGAATCAAAATGCAGATGCGTTGTCACCCTTGAGGACTAAGATGAAAAGCCTCTTTTCCAGTAAAATGGGTCTCCGGTTCTCTACTCTCTCCATACGAAACACAAGAGTATTAAGCTGCTATTTTACGCTGGTATTCTGTGAGAGCGTGGTCCTTCCCCGGTCGAGCCGACATTTGTGCTACAACTATACTACTAATATAGCTGCAGCATGGCTCTACCACGTGCAAAAGATATGTAGGTATTTTCTAATCTAATAACGTATATAAAAGGTAATAAGAGTGCAGGCGGCATTATAGTGAGTCGTGAGAGTGAGTGGTAAAGCTATACTGCCGATATTATGGTTGTTATACGAATGGGTTAGCTCGTCCGTATAAGCTCTATTGTGTTTCATATGGTGAGTGTACAGATCCGGAGACCCTTTTAATTGGGAGCGAGGCATTTCGTTTTAGACCTCAGGGCTGACAACGCATCTGCATTTTGATTTTTAATTGTGATGAGATGTCTACGGCCACACTGTTCACATAGCATCAGGTGCACTGTGTGCTCGTTTGTCGCCCTTATTCTATATGAAATACCAATACACAGACCTAGATATATCACGCTGCGGCCTATTTCGCGCAGTAAGACAAGTGGTTTTCCAACATGTCTCATATCTCGATGATTGATGTATTAGTCAATAATATAGTTTATCTATGGTATGCTGTACAGTTTACTTTGTGTCTATCTACGAGAGCCACTCACAGTTTCTCTTATCTGACGTCTACACTAGATCAAAATAGCAATGTAAAGCTCGTCGTTAGACAAGTTTATTTTGTTGACATATCTCACTCAACATGTTTATATTCTGATATTGTCATGGCCCGCTTCTTGATTGGTCGGTACGTCGTGTCAGTAATAATAATAATGTCATCCAGACCGAAATTTGGTCACGGCGGTCAGTCTCAACGGAGACTAGCCGATGCGCAGGACAGGATTATAGTGCACGAGTGTGTTCGCAAATACAGGTCACTCTATTCCCTCACTCTCATATTCCGACAGCAATCCAACAACACCGGAGAGGTATTAGTTGCAGGACCAACAGCTTTACGTGCTTTCTAAGACACGGGGGTTAAACACCGCCAACTTCCGGACTCCAGACTGCTTCTAAGATGTTCTCTAAAACTTCGCTATAAAATCACTACCGAACCCGGAGCTGGAACAGGGACCCACAAGGGACCACAGTTTATCGTGACCGCTGGATGGGTAACAGAATTCATCGAATAAAAGTACTTTTACGGATTTTATGGCGTTTAGTTTAACTTTTTCTTAACTCCGGACAGTTCGAGTGCTTTACAGGGGAACTGACCTCAATACTCTTGTGACCAAGGGTGCACGAAACACTCGAAAAGTCCCTATGTCCTCAGGGAGAGGTATATGGAATTAAAAACAATTCAAATTAAAAGCGATAAAATGCGTAAAAGTAGTATTATTCCATGTATTATTCCATTTGTTCATTGCCTCATAGGGGAGATATTTACCATAGTTGCCACGCTTGGCGAGCGGGTTGGCAACCGTAGTATTTTATTTTAGTCGTTATTAAGAAGACACTGCTGCTCATCTCCTGATTTGTTTCCCTCTGTCGCCTCTTACGACACCCAAGGGATGATATGGGGTAGTGGAAATACACACCATTCTTGCGTAAATTTAGGAAAAATGAAGTCTAGTGTAAACGTCTTCATACCTGGATTCACAGACAAACGCGTGACATTCGAATGGATTTAATCCCTTTACGTCGGCGTTGTCCTTCACAATGATCATGGAGAACACCCTGGTGTACACGAGGTCTTGCACACCATAGGAGATGGACTCGATGTTGAAGAAGACCGACATGTGCTCGAACTCATCCCTCTTCGTGCCGTAGTTCACTGTCTCCAGGTGTACACCGTCGACAGTGATCATAAGTTTCACTAATGGAAGGATCTGTCCTGGAAACGGTAAAGTATCCGACGTCAGTATAATAGTAATGTCCTATGTCTGTATATTTTATCAGGTCGCTCGCTACTTCATTTAGTGGGAGGTCGCTTAACTCTGTATGGAGGTGGGTGGTGCAATTAGGTCAGGACCGTGCTTTGTGGTATTCCTTGGTAGACGCCTGTGTTTAGCTGTGGTCTGATGATGATGATGATGATGATGGTGATAAAAAACAAAAGAGGACCTAAGACAGGGTCGAGCCTTGGGGTATTTCAATCTACACAATATTCTCTGAAGAAGTTTTGTTCATTTACGGAATCAATTTGGCTACGGTTATTAATGTAAGTTTTGATGATGATGAACAAAATATGATTCGCGAGCGTAACGAGTATGTATTTACAGAATTATAATAATTACAATCATCAATGCAACCCCCTAAGTTCGTATAATTCCTTTAAATGATTTTTCTGGAAATAGCCATACATTGGAGTTATACGAACATAGACGGTTGTATTGATGATTATAATGATTATAATTCTGTAAATACATACTCGTTACGCTCGCGAATCATATTTGTTAAACATACAACCTGACAATGAACTGAAAATTGCAAAGAAAAGTAAGAAAATTTGAATTTCGCGGGCCACCCTGGAGCTTCCACCTTAAGTGGAACTAGGTAAGACTCTTCAAACTAGGTAAGACACATAATTTTATATTATAACGCAGATCTTAGTTAATTAATTTTTAACATCTTTAATACATATGTATAATGGAATTCCGCGAAGTAACGCGTAATTATATTAATTATCTTTTTGTTATCGTCACCATCTTATTGTGTTTCCGTTTTTATTTACTCTGGAACAGAAATAAAGTGGTGTTTTGAACTATCAACTACTATTTACTCGGTAATAGGATTTCTTTTGTTTAGGAATCCGTTTGAGTAGGTTTCTGCTTATGCTACCAAATGGTACCTTATGATACCGCTAAGGGTATAGAGATACAGTATATGATCTTCAAAGGCGATAACACATCTGTAGTCTTTGCTTTACTAATTGGTGTTAATGGGCTGCAGTAGCCACTAACCATCAGTCGGACTATCAGTTCGCTTGTCACTTTTTATACGTGGTAGAGCCATGCTGCAGCTATGTTATGGTTGTAGCACGGATGGGTCGGCTCGACCGGCGAAGGACCACGCTCTCACAAAATACCAGCGTAAAATAGCAGCTAAACGCTGCTGTGTTTCGTATGGTGAGTGTAGAGAACCGGAGACCCTTTTTACTGGAAACGAGGCATTCTTAGTCCTCACGGGTGACAACGCATCAGCATTTTGATTCGTTGTCGAAAATAGATGTAGATGTCTATGGACCACAGTAACCACTTACCATCAGATGGACTGTGTGCTCGTTTGTCACCCTTATACTATAAAAAAAAAACCTTTAAAAAAACAATAAATATTACTACTCTATTCCGAAGCAATAGCAAAAGTTGTATAATAATTGCTCTCTATCGTATAAATAACAAATTCGTATTATGTTTCAGCGATAACCGAGCCGAGCAAACTAGTGACTGTGCTGCCTCTGTCGAACAATCGGTAAACTAAATATACATTTAACAGTCTATTACAAGCTAAGTTTGCGCCACTTTTCGAATTACAGAAACAGAAACTTTTTTTATTCAATATAGATTATAAATAATACTTATTGAAAGTCACTCTTTTGTTTGATTACCACTAGTTCGGAAAAAACCTCTGTCCTGGGAAGAACCAGCAAGAAACCCAGCGGGACTTTTTTTAAAAAATAACAGCTTACAATCATGATGTTACACAAATTAACAACACAACAAATTAGAAATAGCTTGGTAGCGATCACCTCATTTCCAGGGGTTATTATCATCTATAAATTCATTAATATTATAATAACCCTTTTTATACAAACTTAGTTTAATAAAGCATTTGAACTATGAGCAGGTCAAATTTTGTATATTTTCTGGAATTTGGTTGTAAAAGCGTATACATCGCCCCAAGAATGAATTACTAACTCGATGGAGTCGAGTAACTGGTACTACTAGCTTGTGTCTGTTCCTAGTATTTACAGAATGAATATCACTTATTTTTGTAAAACTACTTTTATTTTTGTGTACGTAAAAAATTATAGTAATGCGTGTTATTAACTCTATGCTTATTTTTACTAAGTTTGTTGACATCACAGCTACTAAGATGCTGCTATGTTTGCTCAGATTAAAGAAGTGTTCGCATAAATTGACTGTTTCTTTTACTTAAGAACAGAAAAATTCAAAGCGGTAACACAGGAGGGCTGAGACAAAATCTTAGGGATCAAACTAAAGCTTTGAAGCTTTATAATTCTGAGCTTAAAACCCACTACAGACTTCAGAAAGAGCTATTTCATGATTTCGTTTTGTTCTATTTAGAAAATAATTCTTACCTGGAGGCAAAGCTTTAGCGGCAGCTACCATCAAGTCGACAGGTTTCCTTGTGTGTTTGATTCCCCATAACCCTCGCGCATCGCTCTGGCCCAAGTATTTAACCTGTAACCGTCGAAAAAAATGAATTACTAATAATAACAGTGAATGTTGAGTGAACATAAAGATTTATTAGCTATGATCCGCGTAATAAAATAAAATGATGTACCTTAGCTAGGTTGAAGAGCACCTCTTACCCAATTGTTTGCACTATCACCGTCACCACTATTCCCAGCACCACTAGGAGAGACACACAACTTAATCTAACTTAGCGTTCAGCCACCGCAGATTCTACTTCACCTGAGGATGCCTCGTTTAGAGGCGAAACACGTATCGTATTATCGACGGTAGTGAGTCTATCCTAGTGTAGTGATGTTGATAGTAGTGGTGCTGGGAGTAGTGGTGACGGGGATAGTGCACGCAATTGAGGGATGGATTGGATTTTATGGGTTTTAATTTTTTTTGCACGGAACCCTATTTCCTTTTCTAAAATAAAAATGATCTAAGTTACTCCTTATAACTTTAGTTATATGAAAGTGCCGTCAAAATCGGTCCACCCATTCCGGAGATTATCCGGAACAAACAGACAGACAGACAGACCGACAGACAGACAGACAAAATTTAAAAAAATTGTGTTTTTTGTTATAAGTACCTACCGTATACACTTTCATATGCATTTAGTTAAAAGCTGTTATTTTAACATTACAAACAGACACTTCAATTTTATTTATTTGTATAGATGAAGATTCTTTAGTACGTCATACAGTGCACAGAATTTACTATCTACCGAGAGAGGTAGACGTACTGAGCAATATGTACTCGTATATTTGATAGGTAGCTATCACTGACTATAATGAGAGACATTAATATCATATTCCTATGGTGTTTATACGTAGTAGAGCTACGCTGCAGCTATATTACAGGGGTAGCACTACACTCTCAACGAATACCAACATAAAATAGCAGCTTAATGCTGCTGTGTTTCGTATAGTGAATGTAGATAACCAGAGACCATTTTTAGAGGAAATGAGGCATTCCATCTTAATCTGGAACAACACGCACTGTATTGCACTGACGCATTTGCGTTTTGATTTCTAACCGAGGTAAGATGCAGATGTTTATAAGCCACACCACTTACCATCAGGTGGACTGTGTGTTCAATTTTCACTCTTATTCCATAAAAAATATGAAGACCATATGTTAACGTAATAGTAGCTTTTGTTTAATTACTATTTAAATTTAACCGGGTTATTTTTGTATAATCTTCATTTTATTTATGTATTGTAGTCACTGAACGCAGTCTACTGGATCATATACTACAAATGACGTAAGCAATCATAATTTGAATGTGTTATAACCTGAGGTAGTAACGCAGTGAAAGTGCATCGAATGTGCGACAAAGAAGGTAAAGGAAAGCGATGTTTAGCCATAAGCAAGCCCATTCATAACAGTAATTAATGAAGTTACATAATTACATTTTAACACGTACTGTTTATAAGTAGTGCCAGCGAATTTCCTCACGAGATCCACTAATTGTATAAACTAGGCAATAGGGCTCTTTTTCTGGATTCCTTCTGGGTTGGTAACAGCTTACTGCTTATTTCTGCCAAGTGGCAGTGTTGTGATGGTGTTTACGTAGCTGATGTGTTCCGGTGTAGAGGGGATGGAGCCAGTATAATTACAGGTTACAGATTTATTATCTTAAATCGTGGGAAATGTCACAAAAATCTTACGGTTTCCGATAAATAGGAATAAATCTATTTGTTGACGTTAGACGTATAATACCATGGTTGGCGACGAACAGCAGTGTTCTAGTTGCGAGTCGCAGACGAAACTGCAGACAACGTACCAGAGTACTGCAATCGGGAATCCATCTACCAAGCGTGATGATTAAGGAAAAATTCTTCCTTTTTTATATAGGAGTGTAGGCAAAACGAGCATGCAGCTCACTTGATGAAAAGTGTCAACCGCCGCCCATGTATAATTGCAACACCAGGAGGATTGCAGGAGTGTTGCCGACCATACCATTAGATAACGTTGCCGCTGGAAGCAAAGTGTGAGAAACCCCAACCGAGCATGGTGTTCGGCTTGCGACAGCGCCGCCACATTACTGTGCACCATTCCATCCATTAAAGCCTATAAAAGTCCACTGCTGAACATAAGCCTCCGCTATAGATTGCTTCGTATATATTTTGCTATAGTTGATACAGATTTCAGATTCCCTTTGTCGCCTCTTACGACCGACACAGGACGATATGGGTTAGTGGATATTCTTACACCGCCACTACACGGCAACCCTTGCTTATATACGGGATGGCGATAAAGTTATCACATTAAATGAAAAGACTTAAATTATATAACATTCTTTGGACATACACAACTAAAAATATATATAACACTTAGCATTCTAGTCGTAATAACCCTTTTTTCGTTTTTTGCCTAATTACTTATGAACGGGAAAGTGTAGGCAAATAATTATAACCTGTCGGAAATATCTGCGAACCTGGCTTGATGACGTCATGCAATATGGAGAGATGGCAACGGTACTGGATAGACGATAACGGGCGGAAATATCTGCGAACCTGGCTTGATGACGTCATGCAATATGGAGAGATGGCAACGGTACTGGATAGACGATAACGGGCGGAGGTGCGGGGAAGCGCGAGGGGAAGCGCATTCCAGCGAAGTTCGCAGATATTTCCGACAGGTTATACCTATGTCGATGCCGCGTGAGCACTGCGTACCGCTTTTACATGTCACTTCTGGTCAGTAAACTAATATAAGATAATATTATCGAGGTGATTTATTTCGTGTAAATTTTTACGCTATTTATTTTGTTTGAGAGATGCATTTTTTATTTTTGCTAGAATTGTTTATTTTATAATTTTAATCGACATATTATATGAACTTGCATATACCGCTGTGTATGCAAGTTTAAAAGCTAATGTGATAACCTAATCGCCACCCAGTATATTATTCAGATTTCTTTAAAATGTTTTCTTTTACCGCCAAGCACGTGGATAAAATAGCACTAAAATGCACTAAAAATAACATTTTTGTTGGTGACGGTATCGGTAATCGATCTCACAATATTGAGCTATCAGGGTTAGGCCGGAAGTGAAGTCGGACAGCTTGTGGTCTGAGGCAGAATTAACCACAAACGGCATTTAAAAGGAAACAGTAATACCGGATCAATTCGGATCAAAGCCGTATAAGAGTGTTGATCATTTGGTCAACAGCTTGCTTACTAGTTTTATGTATATTGTTTCGTTATAACATCACTTCCGGCGTGTCTATGGCGGCTACGCTCTAATTAACGTCAATTAAGCGCGGGATTTAAGCCTTTTTAAACATTTAATCTACGTTTTGTGTTTTATATGTTAATTTAAATGTCCTTCACTTTCATTTAATATGTTCCTAGGGAAATTTGAACCGCGAAGAATGTATAGAAATTTAATAATTGTTATTCAATATAGATTGTTACATAATACTTATTGAAAGTCTATTTTCATTTACCACTGGTTCGGAAAATAACTCTTTCCTCGGAAGAATCATCAAGAAACAAAGCGGGATTATATTTTAAACATAATCTTTATATATAAAAATTACGTGTCACATTGTTTGTCCGCGATGAACTCCTAAACTACAGAACTGATTTCAATGAAATTTCGCACTGTGTGCAGTTTGGTCCAACTTGAGAGATAGGATACTTTTTATCTTGATAAGTGACCTTCAATATTTTTTATTGCCAAGTTAAGGATTTTTTACAGGAAGGGTCGTCGGAAAGGGCAGAACAACGTCTGCCTGGCCAGCTAGTATAATATAAATTAAAATAATTTGGTACAATTTTTATATGATATTTAATAGAACCAGTATGGTGTGGCGGTCAGCTCATTCTCAGGAGTAATTTTCTTACATCATTATTTGGTGTTATAATACGGTATCAATGATGAGGTATTTGTATATATTTTTTAAAGGATAAAGGTGACAAACGAGCACACAGCCCATCTGAAGGTAAGTGGATACTGTGATATTTATATTTATCTTCGATTAAGAATCGAAATACAGATGCGTTTTCACCCCAAAACACTAAGATGAAATGCCTCATATCCAGTAAAAAGGGTATTCGGTTCTCTACCCTCACCATATGAAACATAGCAGCATGGAACTGTTATTTTACGCTGGTATTCTGTGAGAGTATGATCCCACCCCGGTCGAGCCGACCCGTTCGTGCTACAACCATAATATAGCTGCAGCATAGCTCCACGTATAAAATCATTATTAAACATTTATGGATAAACTCAATTAAGATACCTACATAAGTTTATTGTCTGGTGTAATAGGCTAGCCGTGCCCGCCAGCCATTATCTCTATCGTATAGATCTGACTACAACAGACAAGCGGAGCGTAACATACTTGCAAAATTTTGCTCTTTAGTGTACACGTTCGCGAATTTTCCATCGGCCATTTTTTTAAATAACTTGTATATGAAATATATACAATACAATACAATAACTTTCTTTCAGGCATCAAGGACTTAAAAATTAAGACCATTGGCTCAAATATACACTTAGGATATATATATACAGCGCATCAAAAGAATCGTATGAAAGTCCACTGCTGAACACATGCCTTCCTCATAGATTGTATCATATGGGAGATAAAGTTGCCACGCTTGGCTAGCGGGTTGACAACCGCAGTTTTTTTATTATTTCAAGTTGTTACCAGGAAAATGCTGCTGCCCATCTCTTTCAGTTATTTAATGTATGTATGTAGTATGCGAGAGGCTTTGTTCTTCAGTGGACTTTTATAGGCTGTAATGGAATCTGATGGAATAATACACGCAAAGTGATGTTACAGTGTAAAAATTACAATTAATATTTTGTACAAAGGCACTGCTTTATTTCATATTGAAATTTCTCCCAACAGACCCGATACAGAGATATGGACAGATTCAACGAGAAGCAGATTTAGTGTGCAATCTCATAATAATAATTATAGTATTAATACACAGAATACAAAATAAAGATAATAACACATCTATACATACGTATATATACAAGAAT